TCTCTGCTGTCTGCTTAAAGGCAAACGTGGTCACATGGAGGTCACTGAGGCCGTACAGATCAAAAATTGCATGAATGCTTCTAAAGTCAGCTGTGAGGTTAACTACGAAGGAAATGAACTAGAGCAAGGTCAAAAGCAGCATCTATAACCAGTTAGATATGTTGCTTGTGTTTCAGGAACAACGTAGCGTTCAGTGTGTTTTGGCAGAGGCGAGTGTTAAGCAGGTGAAGCTGGGTGTTGCCTTTCTGCCAGTCTGAGCAGGGTACACCCGGCCCCTCCCCCTCTAGGCAGGCTCTGCCTCTGGCAGGCAGCGCACGCTCTTGTCAACGCTCCGGTGCTCAAATATTTATATTAGAGCTGAAACGATTAATCTAATTGCTGGAATAATTAGATTATTAACAATAGTCGAGAAATTTAGGCTGCATTGATGCTTCGTATACGGTAGTTTATTTGCAGCATTCTGCCTTGTTTGCTCCATGGACTTTTCTCACGTTTCGCACAGATTCTTTTTGTGTTACTGAAGAAGATGACATAGTCTGGGATCGCGTCTTTCATTCAGACAGAAGACATGTTTTATTGTCGATGGTAGAGACAGCACGAACAAAGCACACGAACAAGGGATGTTACGACAGCAAGTGTATTACACAGCATGGAGGAATGCAGTCCTCCAATCAGCAGCTTCCACAGTGCCATATAGCTTGGCCTTCAGAAGTCAAAACAAGGGAAAAGTACTGGCTCGTGCAAATGTGATAAGGATGAGTTTGAACTTTAACAATAGCTGCTTCAAAGTGTTATGAAATCTCACATTACGCAACATGTTTACGTCACAGATCTTCCGTGCCGGGCACCGGTCTGCATGGTCTGAATGCATCCCTAGTGTTTATAATACTTTTTTGCGGACAATGCATTGATCTATTATAATATCAATGGATGACAACGGAGAAGGCACTGGGCAAGACAGGAGAGTTAATAAGAAGCGTCTAAAATGTGGGAGCACTTCACTCTGAACACTAAACCAAGTGGAGCTAGCCTCTCATGATAACACCATGGATCTATTCTATAGGAAAGCACCAGTTTGATGCTGGTGCACCTGACGAGGAAGCATCGAGGGAAGACCTGAGACGAGGAAAGTCAACTTTCATTTTTTGGTGTAAGGTTGTGAAAGTAAAATGTTGATAATTATGATAACACGGAGGGGTTTTCAGCGAACAGTCAAACGCTGCCAAAGCGGCATGGTTGAAAACTATCAATGTAGCCGCTTGTCGTCTACAGTCAGCCTTTCATTTGTTAACGCAGTGATGAAGCAGGTTTATCAGTGCCTACATAAGACATGTGTTATGAATGTTTTACTTAATGTGACATTCACTACAATCCTAGTGCCAACGGGTATTATACTATACTAACTCCGTACACAATAGTCCTGTGTGAACACTGTGGACAAAGATCCAACAGCAGTTAGAGAACTGTAGGAATGAGGAGCACACAGCACAAGAGATGTGAACAATAACGATATACTAAAATTAAATAAAAGCTCTAACTTTAATAGAAAAAACAAGTATACATTTCTGTAGTGTAGTATTGTATCGTGTCATATATAGTCAGACCATAGACTGTATAAAGGGACGTAGTCACGCCTATCTCCGCCGTTCTAACTAATGGGCCAAAAATGTCGCTTTCCTGGAGTGATTCAAAATGGCCGCGGGGGCTGGAAAATGTGAAAAAATGCATCTGCGCATGCGTCAGCCGGCACAAGCCCCATTCATTTAAACAAGTTACTTCAAAAATTCACAGTGACTAAACTAGAGTGGTCCAAAAAAATTCACCCCCCTCAGCATTGACACACATGTGGAACGGAGCTTTGGGCCAAGAGCCAACTTTTGGTCCATCCTGTAAATACGTTTGAGAGGTCTGCTAATGCTATTTGTCACTCCCGTATTCGTCCCGGAAACCGGATTCGTCCGGAAGTTCAGTTTGATCCAATGAGCATACACAGCAGTAGATTACGTCACGGAATCTGGACGGAAGCAGAAGTAAATATAACGTACTACCTATTCATGCCTAAACTTAACCAGCCATTCCCATAAAATAACCCCAACCCACCCTTAACCCTAAACTTAACCAGTCACCACTTAAGGACATATTAAACTTTTTGACATGCGCAAACTGAACTTCCGGACGAATCCGGTTTCCGGGACGAATACGGGAGTGACACTATATGTTAGCATTCTAATTCTTATTCCGGGTCCACCCCGATCGGCCCGGGGTGGTATTGCAAGCATGTCAGCGCACATCATTTTGGCCACTTTTGAGCTGGGACCCGCCCCCACTGAGTCAGATACATGTGGTTCTATGTTGCATAATAATAATTATTAATTATTGCAGAGATGCAAGACATCAGCAGCGTTATCTAATGTAGGACATATTGAACCTGGAAGTGGTGTGTGATTGACATTTAACGTCTGCTTTTCCCTGTCTTTCAGTAAACCATCACTGCCTGTTTAGGACCAGTTCCTGCTCCCAGCACCAGCAGCTGTTCTGACTGATAGTATTATAAACATGCTTCTCAGAGACATGTGCCTCATCTGGTTCTGCTCGATCTGGAAGGACTCGAACATCAACCGTGGTACAGGTGCAATCGCCGCTGCCTTGTCTTCATTTGATAATATGAATGCAATTAACTGTATACAATTTAAAAACAGTTGTCATTATTAAATGGTTTCCATTTAATATTGTATAGTTTTAATTTGTCAAAAAAAAAAAAAATCTCGTTTAATCGATCGGTGTATTTGATAGAAGAATCAATTACCAAAGTATTCGATAGCTGCAGCTCTACATGAAATTAAATGAGGCCTACCATAGTGATGTGCTGAGCGTGCCGAGTCTTCGAAGCGTGTACCGAGTAATCAAAGGGAGGTTTTTTTAAGCGTGGGTCGAGGCGTGTGTTGGTGACGTATGTGGTGACGTTTGAAGCCTCGCGTAGCGGCCGCACCACGTGATTGTTCACTGAGGTGCTTCATATATTTCGGATCGAATCACTTTGACAGATACTTTGTGATCCGCGGCTTCACCCGTCTGTCTCTGTGTGCGTACGTGTGTGCGCGCAATGTGGAGCAGTTCTGTAAATCTGGTTCATATGAAATACAATTAAAAACGTTTCACATTAGTAAAACCTCAATTTCATATATCCAGATTTGCCTTCATGTCACAATGTTTTTGTCTAAGTTAATAATAGATTAGAACACGCATTACGAAATAATTGTGTGGCGCAGTCCGTAGTTGCTGCACTTTAAGGTTGTAGATGTGTGGTTCGAATCACGTTTGACTCAAAATGTATTTGTATTTGCAAAGTAAATATATTAAATGATTGGGAATAAATGGTTTGTTTTGTTTAATTAATCTGGCTAATGGGAGTTTTTCCTAAATTAAAACACATTTTTGCAAAACTGCATTGCTTTAGATGTATTATGTTGTATCAACACAATTGACTGAAAGTCTCAAATAGTTCATAGTTTATAAAGCATAATTTCAAACACATGTTTAGACCATAGACTGTAAATATCAATATTAATCTTAGACCCCACCATCTATTGTAAGTGTGGTGATGTGGATCTGCGTGGCCGCCAGCAGGAGGCGCACAGAGGTCTAAAAGGCCTCAGTGCGCCTCTTCTGTCTACGCCACGCAGACTTCCGCCTCCCGTGTCCACCCTCCTGACAGTACAGGTAGCGTCCTTCAGGCTTCTTAATCTCACGTCTTTGTATTAATCAAATCGCTGTTCTGTGGCCTAGGGTGTGCCGTAATGGGTCGCGTTCATTTGCCACTGGCTCAGCTGCCTGCCTTTTCTCTGTGGGTCCAGGTGTGGGCTCAGGTTGGACCCAGGATGCTGTGCACAACGGCCTACTGACCGTGCACAATGACAGTGTTCCAGAGGGTAGGTTAGCGCGAGTTGTTGCCCTGGAAAACAGATCATGTTCCTGCCGTTTTCTAATATTTTATTTCTAGGCAGGATGCAAGATCTGGACATGACCCCCGCTGCCATCTCGCCTTTCTTTTCTGCATTTACTTTTCTTGTTCCATTTACTTGTCTTTTTATTTCACCAAGAGTAGACACATGGATACATTGTCAATATGTAATGTGCACTAGCTTTTGTACACTTTTGACAAACAAAAGAGAGCGAGAAAATCAGATAAAATAAATATGCTCACTCATGGAACTTGCCTGTGTGCCTTAGGGCGTTACTATTATTTTATTTTGGGTTTCAAGACCCTGGCGTTGCTGGTTTAGTCCACCGAATGTGAGCCCACGACCCTCGTCATGCTACATAAGCACTTAAGAGTGTTATATATATATTTTGTCCACATGATGACGTAGTGGAGCATGAACCACCTCGAGCCTTCGAACCATGGGCCGAGTAAGAGGCTGCAAACTCTCAATGCATCATGAGGCTTCATATTGCCATCACTATGACCCACATGTGAGAGAAGACACACACAGCCCTACAACCACCCACAAGTGAGAGTAGACAGACACACAGCCCTACAACCACCCACAAGTGAGAGAGTAGACAGACACACACAGGCCATACAACCACCCACAAGTGAGAGAGTAGACAGACACACACAGGCCATACAACCACCCACAAGTGAGAGAGTAGACAGACACACAGCCCTACCATCACAAACTAGTGAGAGAGAAGACACACACACACACAGGTCCTACTGTCACACACAAGTGAGAGAGAGAAGACACAAACACAGGCCTATCATGACACACACAAGCCCTACCGTCACACACAAGTGAGAGGATACACAAATGAGAGAGGACACACACAGGCCTAACATCACGCACACACACACTATCTATAGTGCGACTCAGTGATGGAGCCGCTGAAGCGCACACACACAAACACACAGGCCTGGTTCCACTGTGCTGGTGACAGACCGGAGCCTCCCGAGCTGCCCTGCCCCACACACTTCCCCCACACACGGTCCCGGGGCTTACCCATCGGAGCTCGCGGTGCTACGCTTCACGTCGAGTCTACGGCATCGCGCTGGTGCAGTGCGCACACACGGCCCAGCGGCCCGCGGGGAGAGGGGGAAGAATCAGAGCCTGGTCCGGTCCAGATCCCGGGTAGGCGCGGGCATCGCTGCGGCAGTAGGAGCAGAGGATGAGGAGCGGCTCTGATGCCTCCTCCTCCGGGTGTTTACAGCAGAGCAGGGGGAGAGTGTGAGAGGTGGGGAAGAGTATGGACGGAAAAGGCCCGCCTCTCTCCGCTTCGGTGATCCGCTGTGCACCGCTGCTTATCCGCGCTGTCCTCCAGATGCAGTATGAGCGCCTCTGGTTGTGTTGGCCCCTCACATCCTCATCACGGCCTGGACGCTGTGGCTGTGCGCGGGGGAGAAGGTGAAAGGAAACGCGGGGAGCCAGAGGCGGAGCTCCGGACGGCCCTCCCCTCTCTTCCCCCTCCTTCCCCCGGAGAAGCGCTGCAGACCAGGGGCACACTGGCACCGGGCGCGAGATGGCGACACTGCTGCCACGGAAAACACCAGGTTCTGTTATTACATGAGCTCCATTAATGCACTTATTATGATAGTAACCATGTTTACATAAAGCTGACTGGGGTACCTAACGTTTCCTCCCATAAATAGCACATATGTTTCCAAACTAAAGTGTTTTGTAAACGTAAGATTTTTGAACTGATCAAATTTTAGTGTACGAAAAACAACAAACACCAAAGGTTTTTTCGTTTTAAAGGGTCTTTTTCACCACAGAATGTATTTTGAGTCCCAAGAGTCTAAAGGTCTGTCAACTTGATTGTTTTTACCCAAGTGTGAAGTTGAGATGCTCTCTGTGATGCTGCTGCTCAGAAGGTAGCCATTCTAGAAGAGAGCGTCTGTATGAGTCCTGTCCAGTTTGTGGTTCAGGTGAACACCCAGCTCCCATGTCTCAGTGTCCCTTCCCGGAATTGGGGCTGGAGCGACAGAGTGACTTCTGTGGAGGTCCATCTCAGATTTCCCTGCGTTGAAGAGGAGGTGGTTCAACTGACACCAGTTCACAAAGTCCTGCATAACTCCTCTATACTCTGTGTCATCGTCCTCGGAGCTGAGTCCGATGATGGTAGAGTCGTCGGAGAACTTCTGGAGGACACAACCGTCCGTGTTGTGTCTGAAGTCCGCAGTGTAGAGGGTGAGGAACGGTGCGAGGACAGTCCCCTGGGGGGCCCCCACACTGCAGGTCAGGACCTCAGACACAAAGTCTCTGCTTCTCACAAACTGGGATCTGTCTGTGAGGTTGTCCAGGATCCACTCGGACAGGTCGTAGTCCACTCTAGCTGTCTCCATCTTGTCCCTGAGAAGCTCCGCAGCTGGTTGGTGCTGAACATGCTGAAGAAATTGAAGAACAGAAATCCTCAGCACGCTGTTGAGGATTCTTTTCATCCATCTTTTATCCATCGAAGCTGTGCACATGCACAATTGCACAGTAATATCGGGGTCAAAAACTCGATCCTGCGCACAAAATATATATCCAACCTAATCGATGCGATTTACAGATGTACAGTGCCTTGCTAAAGTATTCGGCCCCCTAGAACCTTTCAACATTTCGCCATATTTCAGTCTTCAAACATAAAGATATAAAATTTTAAATTTTTGTCATGAATCAACAACAAGTGGGACACAATCGTGAAGTGGAATGAAATTTGTTGGATAATTGAAACTTTTTTAACAAATAAAAAACTGAAAAGTGGGGCGTGCAAAATATTATTCGGCCCGTTTACTTTCTGTGCAGCAAACTCAGTCCAGAAGTTCAGTGAGGATCTTTGAATGATCCAATGTTGTCCTAAATGACTGATGATGATAAATAGAATGCACCTGTGTGTAATCAAGTCTCCGTATAAATGCACCTGCTCTTTGATAGTCTCAGGGTTCTGTTTAAAGCACAGAGAGAACCATGAAGACAAAGGAACACACCAGGCAGGTCCGAGATACTGTTGTGGAGAAGTTTAAAGCCGGATTTGGATACAAAAAGATTTCCTAAGCTTTAAACATCTCAAGGAGCACTCTGCAAGCAATTATATTGAAATGGAAGGAGTATCAGACCACTGCAAATCTACCAAGACCCGGCCGTCCCTCCAAACTTTCATCTCAAACAAGGGGAAGACTGATCAGAGATGCAGCCAAGAGGCTCATGATCACTCTGGATGAACTGCAGATAACTACAGCTGAGGCGGGGATGGTGTGTTCAGGGTGATGAGCTGTGTTGCTTTTATGCCAAAAATATCGTTTTGCATTGTGGCCAAAAAGTTTGATTTTGGTTTCATCTGACCAGAGCACCTTCTTCCACATGTTTGGTGTGTCTCCCAGGTGGCTTGTGGCAAACTTTAAGAGACTTTTATTGGATATCTTTGAGAAATGGCCACTCTTCCATAAAGGCCAGATTTGTGCAGTGCACGACTGATTGTTGTCCTATGGACAGACTCTCCCACCTCAGCTGTAGTTATCTGCAGTTCATCCAGAGTGATCATGGGCCTCTTGACTGCATCTCTGATCAGTCTTCTCCTTGTTTGAGATGAAAGTTTGGAGGGACGGCCGGGTCTTGGTAGATTTGCAGTAGTCTGATACTCCTTCCATTTCAATATAATTGCTTGCACAGTGCTCCTTGAGATGTTTAAAGCTTGGGAAATCTTTTTGTATCCAAATCCGGTTTTAAACTTCTCCACAACAGTATCTCGGACCTGCCTGGTGTGTTCCTTTGTCTTCATGGTTCTCTCTGCGCTTTAAACAGAACCCTGAGACTATCAAAGAGCAGGTGCATTTATACGGAGACTCGATTACACACAGGTGCATTCTATTTATCATCATCAGTCATTTAGGACAACATTGGATCATTCAAAGATCCTCACTGAACTTCTGGACTGAGTTTGCTGCACTGAAAGTAAAGGGGCCGAATAATATTGCACGCCCCACTTTTCAGTTTTTTATTTGTAAAAAAAGTTTAAATCATCCAATAAATTTTGTTCCACTTCACGATTGTGTCCCACTTGTTGTTGATTCATGACAAAAAATTAAAATTTTATATCTTTATGTTTGAAGCCTGAAATGTGGCAAAATGTTGAAAGGTTCAAGGGGGCTGAATACTTTCGCAAGGCACTGTATTTACACATCTCATTAACGTCATCGACTGTGTCCCCATATTTCTACAGTGGAGGAAAATCTGCTAGAGTAAGCAGGAGGATTGGCTTTGGCGAAGATTCACCTTCCAGCAGTAGAAGGATCTTAAACATAAAGCGAACTCTAAAATGGAACGGTTAAATAAAAAAAACATATTCATGTGTCAGAATGGCCCAGTCAAAGTCCAAACGTAAATTCCACAGAAAATATGTGCAAAGACCAGACAACTGTTTACAACTGCCCTCTGTCTAATCTGACAGAGCCTGACTTGTTTTGTTCCCCCTAATCCATTTCTTCCACCCAGTCCACAGAGCACCGGGCCCTCACTGATCCTCCTGCAGGTGGCAAGTCCACAAGAGCCTTGATCTTTCGATGGGGGCTTCAGGCAAAGTGGGGTTAAGTGTCTTGCCCATGGACACAACAGCAGCAGACATCAGTGGGAGTCATGAAGTAGGTCTTGAGGTGGACTTGAACCGTTGACCTCCAGGCTCAAAGGCCAATGCACCAACTGAGCCACTGTCGCCCCCAAACGTGTCTCTTGATTTGCAAATATTGTAGAGTTATACCCCAAAAGACTTGCTGATGTTATTGTAACAGAAGGGGGCTCCACTTGTGCATGCCCAACTTTTTGGTTTTCTATTTCAAAGGAATCGTGTATCATCTTGCTTTCACGTCAGTTGTCTGTTACTTGTATGTGAACTTGAGGATTTTATGTTATGTTTATGGTTGACAAACATGACAAAATGTGCAAGAGTTCTAGGTGTATTCATACTTTTGAGAGGCACTGTATATGAAACACTAGAATCACTTTCAAGCTCATTTTCATAAATGAGTTGAATGATGTAAAATTATCAAAACAATTTTGTTTTTGTACTATTACGTAAAGTGAAGTTTTCATTAGTTTTTCATAAGCGTTTCCACCAGCCCTACACGACTCACCTCTGCCCCGATAGTGCCAGTCGGAACGCGCCCTGTTTTATTGGTACCATTTACTTTTTAGTGCATGATACGCCCTGATTCTATCAAGGCCGAGCTGGTATCAAATTATTCTAACTGACAGTGATTGGCCAAGAGTGCCGATTATGCAAAACTTCTCAGGATATTTGGCGTTGTGAGCTAGGATACGGTACCAGATACTAAAGCATAATGTAAACACAACCAAGTAGAGTAGGGCAGAGTTAGTCGGGTCAATAGGGCGGGTGCAAACAAAACTATATCGCTCAGAGCCTGATTATTATCACTTCATGGGATTCATAAAAAAACAAAAGACAACCTCTCGCTTTACTTGATTTTATTTAGATAGAAAACAATAACAATATATTTTCAAATATAAAAACTCATTTGTAACCACCACACAAATGTCTTCATGCTGTAAATGATACGTTTTAAAACATTCACTGTTTGAGCAGCTCAAGTATCAGCTCTATAAAGCGGAGTCAAAAATGGGGCATTTGGGCAGAGACAAACTTTTACCTAATTAATACAAAGGTTGTCCCTGGGGTTTTCTCGCTGCGCTCTAATTTATTAAAAAAATAAATGTGTAAAGGTCTGAGGCGTGAAAGAGCTGCAGCCCAAAATGACTTCCTTGAGTACTACACAATCAAGAAAAGCCACTTAAATAAACATATTGATCAACAACATTGAATGATAAAAGGGCAGACTCTGATCTTTGGAATTCTGTCGTGAAAATATAAAATACATATACAACATAAATTGAACCAAAATCAATGTCAGGACCAAATTCTACGGTACACAGGTACATACAGTGGGAGTGGGGGGGGGGGACATTAATTGTAGTTTTTGTTCTGCAGGTTTTGAGACCGTCTCTTCTAACCTGTGCCGAGGGTTGACATTTTTGCAAATTAACTCCTGTGCTATCCTTGGGTCAAATTGAACAGACAGTGATTAAAAAAAATCCTCAACTGAATTTTGATGATTTTTCCTAACTTAACCAGCCCTTTTAGACCTTAATTTAGGGCATTTTTCCTTCTATCATTAATCACTGTGGCGAGTCATTTTTACCCAATGGCAAGCATTCCTTCATGTTTTAGCATGTCAATAACCGGTGCTTTTGTGTAATTGCTCCGTTTTCAAATGCATCAAGGTATGACAAATCCTCAGAATATGACATCAAGAAAAATAAGCCATTAAGTGATGCTGCAAATGAATGCTCTTTGTCTTCAATAAGCCTGCTCCATGTCAAATTTGGATCTGAATTGAGCACAATTTTATTCCACATTTATTCATAATCAAAACATCTAGAGGAAAATAAAAAGTCATGTCTCTTTTCATAATATCACTTTGACATTCTGCAAATTAAAGGCTAAGAGCCTGGCATGTTTAAGGTAATCCATACAAACTTTAAAGACCAGAATATGATAGTTTTGGTAAACCCCCCACCTCAATGACGCGAGTCCCCTTACCGGTTATTACAGTGGGGAGGGAGCTCTTGTATTTTACTGATGGGATGGAAAGAAAGCCATCAATACACATTTTGACGGTATCTTATATACACAATTAAACAATATTGTTCCTTGGTCACAAACAGACCTGGTGTTATCCATTTCCAGCTCAGAAACCGCTCTGCGCTGAATACATCTGCTTAGTTCTGAGCATTTGTGCCCTTGAAGTGCTGTAAGTCACTGAGGATGCAGCGTCCTACTGCGGCCCCAGCCCTCCTTGGCCAACACTAAGCTCAGAGGGCAGCTCCGCGTGCTCTTGACCCCACAGACGATAGAAGTGGCTGAAGTCCACGTAAGGGGGAACGCGGCCCGTCTCGTCGGGCTGTGCTGCCTGACTGCCCCTCTGCCGGAACAGGCTGCCATCACCGGAGCTGGAGCTGGAGCTCTGCGTCTGGGTGTTGGTGGACTGCAGGGTGGTGGTGGGGCTCTGGCTGCTGAGAGAACACAGCACACACTCATTATGAATGTTAAAGACAAGACATACGTGTCTGCTTTGAAGTGTGCAGGCATCGAGTGACTGCACAGACTACTTCCTAAAAAACTTTTCATATTTCTAATTGCTAATTTACACATCACGCGTTACAGCACGTACGCGTTATACGCGCGTAACTTTTTTCCATGTTAACCTATGATGATATTTACACTTCTAGCGTTATACGCGCGTATGACGGACGTATGACGCGAAGCTGCGCTCTAATTTAGGATGGATTTCTAATTTTGTGCGCGCACCAACGCGTCTCCCATTGAAATCTCATGTAAAACATGATTTTTCTAGCGGTCCTTGGCTCTAGATCGCCTCTGCACACACACAGCACTTGTGTCTAAACATCAGCAGGAGGAGCAGCAGGTTTTACAGTGATTCTGGACATCGGTTTTTTTCTTTCATAAAGTCTGGCGTCTGGCCAAACCAGCGCACAGAGACCATGAAGACAAACACATGCATGTGATTTGTGTTGCTCTACATCAGTCCTCTGGCCCGTACTGTCCTCTACACTGCTCCATAGACTACACAGGGAGAGCATCAGAAGCCGCAGACCTGCGCACACGGCCAGTGTAGAAAATGTTGCGCGCAGTAAACGCGTACGCGCTGTTTACGCCTACTGTGTAAATTCCCTGTAAGTCTTCAAGTATTAACCTTCAAAGGACAAGACCTGTTAATTAAGATAATACATAACACACTCTCAACCTTTGTACATTATCCAAGCTGAGCCATAGGAATTTAGCTGTAATAGCACTTAGAACAGGAAACCGTGCCTGTTTACGGCTCATTGTACATCTGATGGCTGATGGGCCACAATCTGATCCTGATCCATTCTGAAGGGCACTGAGCCCAAAAGGCAGAAACTGAACCTTATAAGAATGTTTGATGTAAATACAGTTAAGTATCTTTTGTCATAATGGATCTGTCTTATCATTTATGGACCTGACTGTAAACAGTGTCAAATAGAAGTACTATGGGACAGTTTTACTAGCTGTTAATCTGACTACATTTGTTTAAAATCACAAATCTAAGCATCATAAAACCTTTCCCTTTACTGCTGTGTCCACATGCTGTTTGCGGCCGGCGAAGCATCAGTGTTGTTTATCACTCAAAGCCATGTAAATGAGTCATGTGAAAGAACAGGTAGAACACGCACAGCTCACAGCAGGCTTTGTATGGTTCTTACCACAGAGCATTCAGGAGAGTGGACCAACTGGGTGCTGACGTCTCCCAGCGTTTACCAAATGCAGAAGGAGCTGATTTGAACATGAGCTCGATGGAGCAGAACATAACATATCTTTTTTATTTTGTTACAACTTGCTCTATATCCAAAGCAAATTCCTAGTTTGTAACTTCCTGTCAGTTACAAAGGTAACACTTTTTGTTGTTGTACTGATTCTTCTGTAGAGGAGTTGGAGGCCTGTAGCAGGAGGTCAGGTGGTTACAGAAGTAATAAGTGTCCTTTGTCTGAGACACTGTATAAAAGAATGTTTGTTATCATCATTCTAAAAGGTTCCATTGCCTGACTTGTTTGATAAGCCTTCTGCTGGGTTTGGCATTTTGGAATAATTTACCGTTCAAACACATGCTTTGGTCAACATAAGTGAGGGTTAGGGTCATACATCCCCTTTAAAGAAGAAATGTTATGGATTATTTTTGGCAACTAAAAAAAGATGAGACTGTTTACCTTTAGGTTAATGTTTTAGAACGTGAAATTAAAACTTCAGCAGAAAAAACAAATCCTCACTTTCACCAACTCCCTATCCTACAACCATCATCTTTTCATTTTTTATCAAATTAAAAGACACAGTCCTTCAGTTGTAAACAGTGTAGCTGGGCACTGACCCTGGTGTGGGGGTCTTATCTTCCAGCGCAGACGTGGTGTTGGTCCCGTTGGTCATGGTGCTGATGGAGGGCATGACGAGGGACAGGGTCACACTGGTCTTACTGGTGCTCAGGGAGTTGGAGTTGGAATAGGGAACAGACACCGGGTAGATCCGCCCGCCTGCACACATGTTCAAGAGTTACATTTGGGCACACAGGACTTTTCTCTGAGCAATCCACTGGAAAATAGTCATTGTACTTCTCCATCAGTCAGTAGAAATGAGGAAAACAGTTCGTATTATTCACAAAATGGATTCCAGAATGGGGGCAAAACAGGCATTCATGATATTGTATTCTTGGGAAGTGCATTTCGAGGTTAAAGAAAGTTTTTAAAAGAGCATTTGCTGTGATTTAGGTGAATTTCAGTCGATTTTAGATGCACCAATCAGTATTTTTGAGGTCTAGCCATGTATCTATAAAAATATCTGGACAGGGTATCACTAGCTTACAGCTGTCCTCCCTCCCACGGGCACAGGGGGCGCCCGTGGTACTGCAGACTAAATTCACGTGGGCTACCCAGAAAAATGTCCCATAGAACTCAATGTAAACCAAAACAGCTCGACCTCAGCTGACAGAGAACCTACAGCTTTCATAAAGTTTGGATTTTGTGGGACTTTTAGGTTCCCTTTTAAACCTGAACTTTTGTCTTGCGAAATCGTTCGGTTTTCTATAAATCCACACTTTAGTGCAACACACTCTGCTCGTTTTTCTTCCGCTCTGGCTCCGCTCTGGCTCCGCTCTGGCTCCGCTCTGGCTCCGCTCTGGCTCCGCTCTGGCTCCGCTCTGGCTCCGCTCTGATCAGCAGCCGCTAGAATAGGGTGCCATCTTTGAACACCAGGGCTTGGGTCTATCAAGGATCTCATTGACTTTGTGACAAAATATTTGTATTAATCATTTAACGTATAACCTCTAACTATTGGCATCTCTTCACCTTTGTTATTATGTTCACTTTAATTGAAAGTATAGTCTTTTTGTCTGTTTCCTACAATTCACACGTTCATTTAAGAGAGAAAAGCTGTCCCTGTGAGTGACAGCTGGCACTGCGACACACCCAAACATGATCTGTGACTGATCGGTCAGTTGGTTTCCTTAACATTTGGAATGCAAACACAGGTTAGGCCTGCCCATTGTAATGCTACAATCCTCAATGTTTTATCACAGCAACCTTTCTCCGACTCAAGATAATTATAGATGTGTATCATTTAAACCAGGGGTGCCCAAACCTTTTGCTTCCTAGGGCCAAAGTAAAACTTTGCCAGTCGGCCGCGGGCCAAATACACAGATATTTTGCATGAAACAAAAATAAATGTAGATTTGATCAAGTTCAATTAAATGCATTAATTATTGTCTATCAGTGCAAATCACAGCTGAATGAATGAAATCAACACAGTCTTAGTGAAGTGGGACTACAGTACGGAAAGATTCCGGCCGCGTAATCAGGGTCCAGAGGAGGGAGATTTTCTGTCATGGCTTATTTACAGCTTAAAATCATATAAAAAACCTCTAAAAGAGAACAGAAACATACATTTTCTATGTAACTAAACTGTTTTTTTAACGCCACTTGTAAACAAATAATGTTCCTGTTAGTAAATGAAAGTACTAATTTATATTAAATAATATCATACTCCCAAATTAAATAATCTATATTTTTAACCTGCTCATGTCAGTAAACTGTTTGTTGAAGACCTTTTTTTAAAACAGTTTTGCATTACTATATAGTGATTTATAATGTATAGGTTTATTGTACTAGCAAATGTCATTTACTTTACAAAAGTAAAGTCTATTTTCATATATTTATTTTGAACAAAAGTTTTTAACTACATTTGAATCATATTACTTTATTTTAGCTTTTATCAAAAAGGGGAGACATCACTGATCAATAGATCTGGTTTTAGCACACTTTTAAACAATACATTTTAACATTAAGTAATGAATTTGGGAACATAATTGCTAACTGCATTTTCTAAACATGATCAGGTTTTAACTCTGTTTTAACTTAATATTTTTAACATAGGGCAAGTATTCTCAATTAGTAGTGAACTGAATATTAAACTAACAAAATCAGACTAGTTAACCATGATATGTTCCTAGAGTTTGTTTTGTTTTGCCTAAACACAGTACAACATTTATAAACAATCAAAACAAAGTAACTGTTAAAGAGTCCGTGTTTCCGCTCCTCCAAAGGGCTCTTGAACGCATCATAAAACTCCGCGTAAGTTCTGACATTCAATGATCGCGAGTGAGGACGGCGCTTACCGGCTTCTTTCATGGGGCTGTAGAAGGGTTTGTTTTGCACGGTATTTGTTGCTTCTACTTACGTGGATCGTGCGCTGCGATCCCTACTTGTCCTGCTTGAACTCACTCTGAAGTGTGTGTGTCCGTCTTTTTTAACACACCGGGTGGGTGCGGATTGCGCAGGTGAATAGTTCCACTCGCCAATTCCCTCCGGTGAGGAGGGGGAGTGGCAGTTCGGCAGCACAATCCTCTCAATTTGATAAAACATTAAATTGCTCAAAAAAATTATAATAGTAGGCTGAAAAAAAAGAACATAAAGGGGCCTTGCACCGAATTGTTTTGAAAGATGTGTTTGATTTTAAAAAAACATTTTAGTGCAAGTTGATGTGAACCATGAGTGACGAGTGTATCTCGATACAACAGTAAAGTACTGGACAGTCTACATTCAGAGGGCGTTGGTGCGCCCGCGTGATCTCAGACATGTCACTGTTTGTACAGTGAAGTTGAGGGACGCAGTTAGAAACTTACAGCGGAGGTGGGCAATGTTAGGCGGGCCAACTGAAATGGTCCGGCGGGCCAACTTTGGCCCGCGGGCCCCACTTTGGGCACCCCTGATTTAAACACAATGTGATTGTCCTTCTACACCTGGATGTTGCCAATTTTTTATGTTTTTTTCAAACATGTCTGAGTTTTTTCTCCTAACACATGCTTTGCTCAACATCATGTTTAAGGGCCAATATGAACACAGACGCTGATATTCTGTACTGTTTATTTGGTTGGGGCAGTGCATGTTACTGAACACAAGGGTAAAAGAAGTCATAACATGCCTTTATCTGCTACAGATATAACCTTGCAACAATTCTTGCTGTTTTATTTCAGCGACCTTTCTGGTGCTAAGGGCCAGTTTAACGCCAAGGCAATATTTTTCCGGGCTCCGATCCTACGTGGGTGTGGGCGGGCTCTTCCCTCTCGTGGGAGTGGGCAGGCTCTTACCCCGCGTGGGAGTGGGCGGGCTCTTACCCCGCGTGGGAGTGGGCAGGCTCTTACCCCGCGTGGGAGTGGGCAGGCTCTTACCCCACGTGGGAGTGGGTGGGCTCTTACCCCGCGTGGGAGTGGGCGGGCTCTTACCCCGCGTGGGAGTGGGCGGGCTCACTCCCACTGCGTGGGAGTGGGCGGGTTCTTACCCCGCGTGGGAGTGGGCGGGCTCTTACCCCGCGTGGGAGTGGGCGGGCTCTTACCCCGCGTGGGAGTGGGCGGGCTCTTACCCCGCGTGGGAGTGGGCGGGCTCTTGCCCCACGTGGGAGTGGGCGGGCTCTTGCCCCACGTGGGAGTGGGCGGGCTCTTACCCTGCGTGGGAGTGGGCGGGTCTGCTCCCGGGTAGTTGATGCAGCGGATCAGCAGCGTCATGTCTTCATGCTGGCCACACAGGGGCGCTCTCTGGCGTCCTGACACGTACACATGCTGGTGAACGCGCTTGACACGCTCCACCACGGACTGAGCCGCCGCCTCCAGGGTCGACTGCTGCGCCAGCTCCGCCGCTACCATGGCCACCATCTCCTGTTGCCCAAGAAATGCAACAGAGTGTGACATCAACTTTCACTTCCCATTCAAACTTTCCAGAGTTTCCTCTCTGTTTAGTTCTAACCATAGACTGTATAATTTGCTTACCCGCTAGTTCAATGAAGCCCAATACAAAGTGCTTATGCTGATGTGTTTCTCCAACTCGCTCTGGCTCCTGTAGACTTGCATTGAACAGCAAACTCCTCTCACTCAGTAATTGTTTGGGTCACTCATCATTTTAGATTAGCACTCTCTTTGATCCTGGTGTTTATAATGTGATGTCTTTGTAAATCCAGATACAAGCCATATAACAATGGAACTATCAGGTGCCTTCATTCCCGGCAGGTTGCCTTTGCAACTGTCAGCTCTTTTTATAACGCAAAGCTAATTCTACAAAATAAATACCCATATAAGGCAATTGGTTCCAGCTAGCTTATGTTCAAATTGGCTTCTTAGGCATTAATGCCAGCACAATGGTGACGTTAGCACTTGGTCAGTTTACTCCTAATACACAGTTGCTATGCACGCCTGGCTGTCAGATGACGCCAGCGTTCAGTTACCTGGTCTGCTTTATGTGCTTACGGTGAAGGTGAGCAATGGCGTCCAAGAGAACAAGACGGCTGTCATTGTTGGAGCTGAGCATCATTGAAACACAGATGCACTGGATGGACACCTAAATGTTTGTGCTAGTCTCATGTCCATTATACATGTTGATCAATGTAGTTTTGACTACAAATCTCAAGATCATGTTTACATCTGCAGTGCTTAACTTTAAAACCACAACAATTCAACTCATAAAATCCATTGAACTTATTCCTAGCTCTAAAACAGATTGCCATGAGTAGCAGGGCTCTTTCTTCAAAGTCTGCAAATGACAACATGTTTTCTGATAAAATTAAGACAGCATTTGTTATGGTCACATAATTTTACTTTCACAAGACTGTGTCACAAGACTTGTTGTCTGTTGGCACAAACGACATGTACTATTATAATACATGCTGCCATAAAGAATGTCAGTCTGAAAAGTCATAACAGATGAGTCAGCTGACTGCAGAGGTGGACTGTGAGTGTAGTTATAGACTGAAAGTCTGCCATCTTGTGGACAAACAAATACTTTCATCTTATTGGATTGTAAAGGGGTTATTCTTTTTTTATTTTGTTCAGGATTCATCCAACAATATTGATATGAGGGATTTTGTTTCTAATTCACACTTGTTTTAGCTCATTTTCACTGAACTTACGATTTGGAATAGTATTAATAGTATAGTATCCCTGAGTGAGCTCACCTGGTTGGCCTGTTCAGGCCCGTGGGCACACTCCAGAGCACTGATCAGTCCTTCAGACATGAGCAGCAGGAAACCGCTAACCCGCTCCAGGGACTGCGTGTGGACCTCGGGCTCCGCAATGACTGGTTTGGACTTGGCAGAGCTGGACACAGAGAAAAAGCAGACTGTTCATGACCAGGGAGGCTCCAGGTTTGTTAACGATGCATTGTGAAAAAGGGTATAACAAACATTATAATTGTTTGATGTTCAATTAAGATTTTCCCATGTTAAACAACATTTTGCCATGAAAGAAAACGACAACTGGTATAACAAATGCATAGTGTTTGTATTATTTTTTTAAAAGTGAAAACATTTTTACAGAAATATGATTTAATGGGCAGCTGTTTTCTAAATTGAAATAAAGAAAAGGAGCGGTTTGGGGAAAGGAACAGAGAGACTTGTGCACAATATAAAGTTGTCTTGTAAAGATGAGGCTCTCTGCTGCCCTATTTTTTTGTTCAAATCTTCAGTGTAAAAAGGAAAGGCAACAACGTATGTTATGATGTCAGTTGTAATGAGTTATATGCTTTTCAATAAAAGTAAAACAAAAAAAAGTTATAGGGACTGGAGGGAAAAGAATTCAAAGCAGATAGTGTATGAAAATAATATTTTCATAAAACTTGAGAGGTGCATTCTGATTGCATGGTGGCCTGAGCAGGTGGGTGTCAGTGTGGGGGTCCTTGCCTGAGCAGGTGGGTGTCGCTGTAGTGGATCTTGGCACGGTAGTCCCCCAGCCGCCTGGTGCTCCGGTGGCCGGCGATCTGCCCAGCCTGCCGGATCAGTGCAGAGTCCAGCCCTGAGAGAGGGTATTCATATGTATGAATATTTAACACGAGCAGAACCACACAGAAAAGGCTCTTACCATTTAATTTTAGATACATGCATGCCATCAGTCAAACTCAAAATACATAGGAAATACTCATATACTGTTATATGAACTTTGGCAAAAATAAGAGCTCCACATTCCCACAGCAGCAGAAGGCGCGCAGGTTGACATTGATTAAGGGCAACGTTTTTTTCCTTTCATCAAGTCTGGCCAAACCAGCTACAGAGACCATGAGGACAAATACATACATCTGACTGTTGCTGCTGTGCACAGCAGTTTACAGGGCTGTTCTGTCTGGTGTGTACAGTATACAGTGGGGGAAAAAAGTATTTTGTCAGCCACCAATTGTGCAGGTTCTGCCACTTGAAAAGATGATTGAGGCCTGTGATTTCCATCATAGGTATACCTCAACTATAAGAGACAGAATGAGAAAAAAACAGCCAGAGTATATTTTCCACCCTAAAATATTAGGGTGGAAAATAAGTATTCGGTCAATAACAAAAGTTAATTTCAATACTTTGTTATTTACCCTTTGTTGGCAATGACTGAGCGCAAACGTTTTCTCTAAGTCTTCACAAGATTTTCACACACTATTGCTGGTATTTTGGCCCATTCCTCTATGCAGATCTCCTCTAGAGCAGTGATGTTTTGGGGCTGTCGCTGGGGACCTGGATCTGGAGACTGGCTAGGCCACTCCAGGACTTTGAAATGCTTCTTACAAAGTTGCCCAGGCGGTATTCTGAGATTTTTTATAAAAAATCTCAGAATACATGGCCCCATTCATTCTTTCCTTCACACGGGTCAGTCGTCCTGGTCCCTTTGCAGAAAACCAGCCCCAAAGCATGATGTTTCCACCTCCATGCTTCACAGCCGGTATGGTGTTCTGTAGGTGCAACTCTCCTCCAAACACAAGTTGAGTTTTTACCAGAAAAATCTATTTTGGTTTCATCTGACCATGTGACATTCTCCCAATCCTCTTCTGGATCATCCAAATGCTCTCAAGAAAACTTCAGACGGGCCTGGACATGGCTTATGCAGGGGACACGTCTGACACTGCAGGATTTGAGTTCCTAACAGTGTAGTGTGTTGCTGATGGTAGCCTTTGTTACTTTGGTCCCAGCTCCCTGCAGGTCATTCACTTGGCTCCTCCAGCTCACTCAGGCCAGCTGAGCGACAGCATGTCCTAGGTCTTTCCCAGGGTCTCCTCTCAGTGGGGCATGCCTGGAACACCTCTCTAAGAATTCATCCATAAGGCATTCCAAACAAACTCCTTTCACCAAATCGGCTGGCTCCTGAATGTGAAGGACCCCTAGTCCGAGCCCGATGTGACGAGGCTCCCCAGCTCATGACCATAGGTATGGGTGGAGCACAGGTAGGCTGAGCCAGGTCAGTAGATTGTAAGGAGGGTTTGTGTCTCACCCAGGGCAGCCAGCCGGTGTAACTCATCCTCGTTGTCTGTGCTGTGGGCTCGTCCGATCTGCAGCACCTGGTTCTGGCCGTCACTGCTGGAGCGACACAGTAGAGCGCGGTCGGTGCCTGAACAAAAAGTGCGTAGTGAGTAATGAGGACCTTACCTTGATGATGTGGCTGACACAAGCAGTACTTGTGTCACACTCATTGTCACACTCACATTTTGGGCTAAATCTGTGGTTTAACCCTGTATGACCCTTGTGTTTGTATTTTGATAAGTTCTTTGTAAATCTAGACATATCCAGTGTTTCCCACAGATTCAAAACTGATGGCCACATATTGCGTTTTTTCTTCTATTATTCAAATATTTATTGCTATTTAAAACACGCAGCGTATTCGTTCCGCTGCATGTTTTTTCCCCTGCTCTCCGCGTCTCTCTCACATAGGCCTGCTCACACACACACGCTCACACCCCTCCCCTCCCTGCACACCGCGTCTGTCTCATCCCGCTCAGACCGGAGCGACTAGCCGCTCGCAGCCTCAACGTGGCCATGTAAAGACCATAAACGCGCTCAGGACCGTTCTCTGCTTCTCGTGTGCGTGTCTTTGTGTAATCTGTGCACCCAATGAATACACCGCTGTGTGAAACAGTCTGCGTCTCGAAGCGCGACTAAACACACTAAATTAAAGCTCGGGTACCTACATTTTCTATTGCATTAAAATTTGGATTGAAAAAATTCACGAACGGTTCTCACAAACAAATTTGTGCGTAAATCCTACTTACGAGGATTTTACGAAGAATGTGGCATTCACAAATATTTCTCGTAAGCAGAATTTCTCAAATCCTACAAGTGCTCAGGAGCACTCTTGCGCACATTCGCACGCTGGTGTTCCCTTCTCTGGTGAAGTTTGATAAAATACAACATTCCAGTGATATGTCCGTCATATTTATGTATGTATTTAATCATTTCATTGGTTATAGTCATTTTTTTATTCATTTTTATCAAATACATTGGAAATCTTGCCGTCTATTAGTGACCCCATCCTGTTTATACGGTGGATTTCTTTATCCACGGACCACAAAACAATGGCATATACACTGCTGCTGCAGGAGGTTGCGGGGTCCGCCCTGGTCTCTCCCGTGGATCTATACGGGTTCGAGCTGGTCTCTCCCGTCGATCTATTATGGGTCCGCGCTGGTCTCTCCCGTCGATCTATTATGGGTCCGCGCTGGTCTCTCCCGTCGATCTATACGGGTCAAAGCTGGCCTGTCTATGGTCTCTCCAGTCTGGTCTCTCCATATATGTCTCTCCTCGGGTCTGAATTGGTCTCAGCGCTAGTCCGCGCTGGATCTCCTCCCAGAGTCAAATATTTTGAGATTAACCTCATATCATTTTAGATTAATCTCATAACATTTTGAGATTCATGTTTAAATTAATACATAATATATATTTAAATCAATCTCACAACATTTTGAGATTAATCTCATAATATCTATTGATTAATCTCATAAATGGTGGAAGACATTACCAATTGTATAGAAAAAAACAACTTTATTATTAGAATTTTTATTGATTTAAAAAAGGCATTTGATACAATTGATCACCATACTCTTTTAGATAAATTGGGCAACTATGGCATCAGAGGAATGCCACAGAGGTGGTTGGAGAGTTACTTGGGAGACAGGCAGCAGTTTGTACAGATGGAGCAACACAAATCTTCACTCAGTAACATCACGTGTGGGGTCCCTCAAGGTTCTATCCTTGGGCCAACATTGTTTTTACTGTATATCAACAACATTTGTAATGTATCCAAAGTCATGACATTTTTATTGTTTGCGGATGACACTACAATCTTATGTTCTGGAGCGGATTTGGAGAATCTTCTCAATCAAATAACTCAAGAAATGTATACATTAAAAACATGGTTTGATCTAAATAAATTATCACTTAACTTAAAAAAGACAAAACTAATGCTATTTGGAAACAGGACCACAGACATGACGGTACAAATAATCATTAAAAGATACAGTCATTGAAAGGGTACCACAAAATGTGTTTTTAGGAGTAATTATTGATCAAAAACTTTCTTGGAAACCTCATATAACTTATCTGCGATCAAAAGTAGCAAAGTGTGTTGGTGTGATGAAGAAATGTAGTCCCATGCTCAATCAAAATGCCTTATTTATTTTGTACCACTCATTTACAATGTCATACTTAAATTATTGTATAGAAATTTGGGGAAGTTGTTACAAAACAAATCTATTACCTTTAGTCACGCTCCAGAAAAGAGCAATTAGAATTGTTCATAAAGTAAAATAGAGTAAAACCCACTGTTTTTTCACACATTTAATTTAAAATTGTATGATGTGGTAAATTATAGAACAGCTCTGAACATGTACAAAGTATCTACCAATTCTCTTCCTGATCACATCCAGAGTCTTTTCCAAGATCGGGATGCTCATCACTTATATAATCTGAGAGGGATCAATAAACTATATCAGCCAAAAGTTAGGACAACCCTTATATCTATGTGCATTTCAGTGAGGGGGGGTCATGTTGTGGAACAGTCTTCCAGAGGAATTGAAAACATGTAAAAAACTTGTGCAATTTAAATAAAATAAAAAAAAGATATATAATGAGTAAGTACCAGGAAGAGATGGGAGATTGATGCTCTCATAGACAGGCACATGTACATGTGTGTGTATGGCCTGGGTATGGGTAAATGTTTAAAATGAATTACACTTAATACATTCTGATATTGGAATGTAACTTAAGTTATAATTTTGGTAAATCATATGTGGCTATGTGCTGAATGCTCTGTATTATAATTCACTTTAGCTTCAGGAAGACACCAGGAGGTCTGGGGAGCTCAAATGCTAAATGTCTTTTGTTGTGTTGGTTTCTTCCTTTCCCATCTGCATACGAAGGTGTGTCTTGTTCTACCAAAAGGGGCTTGCAGACTGTGAATCTTCAGACTTGTCCTGAGAGAGGCTAGGGTCTGTGCCTTGCCTCTGTCAAGACATTCTCCTTGTACAATGTAACAAGTAAAAGATTAACTTTGTCTCTTTGTTGTGTGAGATTTCATCAGGTTCAACTGTAGTTGAAACAGCATTATCACATTCCAAATGTCAAGACTGTAAATGACTTTATTGTAAATATGTGCAATTGTGATTGAACTACTCCTTTTGAGTACTGTTTTTTGAGTACTATCATAGTGTCTATCATGTATTGTATGGGGCAAAGGGGTGTATGGCTGGAGTGTTTGGGGCCTGTGTCGTGTTTCTGTTTATTGTTGTAGTATCTACCAATTCTCTTCCTGATCACATCCAGAGTCTTTTCCAAGATCGGGATGCTCATCACTTATATAATCTGAGAGGGATCAATAAACTATATCAGCCAAAAGTTAGGACAACCCTTAAATCTATGTGCATTTCAGTGAGGGGGGGTCATGTTGTGGAACAGTCTTCCATTTGGTGTAGTGTGGTGTGAGTGGGGGGTGGAATCAAATAAGCGTAAGCTTCCTCCATCCCCTTTTCAAGTTACATGATTGTGAATTGAAATAGACTGTGCATGTTATTTTTTCCTTACTTGAAATAAACAAACAAAAACAAAATATCTATTGATTATTCTCATAATTTTTCTAGTTCGACTTTATTCTTATAATATTTCGACTTGAAAGTCAAACTTATGACTTTATTCTCAGTTTGGCAAAAGAAGAAAAAAGGGTGACTCTTTGCTTTAGGCCTGTTGCCGTTTCCACTGGCGTCTGCACACGGCCCTGCAGTCCCTTATATGGGCATTAGTGGGCGGTTACCTATGCCAAGTACCTATGCTTTTGAAGCACCGGGCACGCGCACTCTATTTACGAGGAGTTGGCATTCATCAATCTGAGAGAACAGCTGCGAACAATTCAGCGCCTTACGAGCGTGTTGATGAATCCCACGTAGGGTCTTCTTAGAAATCTACTTAAGAACAACTTGACAAGAAATTTAAGAAGATTCTTAAGAAGATATTCATGAATGAGGCCCGTTGATTGTGCCCAAAAGTAAAATGTTGTGAACAAATCAAACAGATTTAGTGACATTATGCATTTCAGACATTTTTGACCAATTCTCATTCCTGTAACAAACAATAGTGTTGTCTGTGTCCACCTCCCTCACTCTGAGACATGTTTCTTACTCTCTTGTAATGTAGACTATTGCACTGTATTTTATTGCTGAAACTGCAGACATCCTGATCCTCTCCAGTATAAACTGTAAAAAACTTAAAATACTCCTGGGCTGCCAAGAAGGCAAAAATGCACGGCCAGAGGTATCAGTCTGAAACAGAGCTGAACAGTCCGAGTTATGATATTAAATTGTTTATAATATTTTCAGGCTTCAACCAGTTTAATACATTACGAAATATAAACACAATTTTACAGCTGTTCTAAAGATAAAGTTTTGTGTAAAGTTTGTGATTTGTAGGAATTCTTCGTCCACCCCCCCCTCATGTTTGATTGTCAGTGTTCTTACCCATGTTGGCGATGTAGAGCTTGTTGTTGAGGATGAGGGCCACCACAGCTGTAGCCCCCCCACACACCTCCTGCTCCAGCTCCTGGAGCCGTTCCTGCACCTTCTGACTCTGGAGGAACAGCAAACGCATCATCAGGCTCAAGCATTCGATGACGCCTATCATCAGGCTAGATATAAATGTCCCAGAATGTAATTCCTCCCTTCTTTTGCTTGTTAAACGGGTCCCATCTCACACCTTGTACGCTATACAATTGAGTCCTTACACGATCACGTAGGGTTTGATTCTCTAATCTGTTGTTGGCAAAAAACAACAACTTTGTAAAGTCCCCACGAGACAACTGCTGCTATGATTTAGGGCTACGTATACAAAAATGAACTGAATTGATCTGGGTGATATGGCAGAAAATATCTGTCTCAATATCATTGGCCCCTTTGGACAATTTGGCTTTTAGCCAAACATTTGTAGAAAAAAACTCAATATTTGAAATTCATAAAATGTATATTTTCCATCCTAAACAATCATGAAAGTATTGTACCAACACTAACATCTCTAATATTAATCAATGTTGTGCCTTTGTGCCCTACAAACACAGCTAAACTACAGACCCCCAAGAAGCTGAGGCCAGACGCATTATCTTGACACATCTTTGATATAAAGATATCAATATTAAGAATTTAATAAATATTAAATTTATTGAACAGCTCTACTATCACCTCAATGACAGAGCTGTGGTCCGCCTTTTGAAACAAAGTATTGCCTTCATTTTATTGGGAATTTCTCCGGCAAATTTAGTTATTTACAACTGTTTGCATACAATTAATTTCCCAAGGCGTTTCATCACATTGATCTTATTCATCTACACTTATGAATACAGATTTTCTGTTACCCCTTCATGTTGGGCCCGGAGTTGGACCTGGGAGGAGCCAATCTGTTTAAAAGGCTCCCAGGTGAAGTTCGTCGGGAGGGGACCTAACCGAGGGACTGGACTGTCTGCAAAGCTCTTGTCTGAGATAAATCTTCTGCTCGCCCTAACTATAGATAAGGTCAGTGACGTGCTAATGAGTTTGTTCGATCGTTAGACCTGCTCCCTACCACATCTTCACAGACCTTAGATGTTTTTATGAGATAGCCTCAGGATTAGGGTGTGTCTAAAACCTGCTAAGAAGTACAGATGGATGAGAAACGTTCCTTTGCTATGATATCTGATGCTCATTTAGACACAATAAGTATATTTGTGCCGGAAGATGGCGCGTGGCAAGGACAACACATGGAAAGTAGCATGATGCTAAATCTGATGTAACTGCACATTGTCTTTAAATAAACATTTATCCACACATATATTCCACTATAAATGCACACATTTCAGATGCTCAAACATTAAAGTCACTGGACCTACCCCGTCGTGTGGGAGGAAGTTGGATAGGTGAGCCTTCTCTGCCAGGGCGTCATCTATGGACTCAAAGTAACTCTTCTCCACCACGTCGAAAGCCTGCCACACAAAACATCTCTGCACCAACTACACAACAACTCCAATAACTAAAGCAAACACTATCACGGTCAGGAAAAGGCCAGACCAAACAGTGCCAGAGCAGAAGCACCCGCAAACTAGAATCCACTCACCAGAAGCTGACTCTCTAGTCCCAGATGGGTCCAAGTCTCTGGCCCAAGAGTCAAAATCAAGTTCAAGTCAGGTCCAAGTCTCTGACCAGAGATGAATATGAATATGTAAAGTTTGGCACTCCAGCTTTAATATTGTGAGATTTAGAGTGGGCAGTTGAGCTGACCGATATTAACGGCTTATTAACAGAGCGCAAGGTCTGTACCTTGGCCTTTTTGCATCCTTACCTTGCGATTTTTGAATCGATTTCTTCCCCCCCTTACAAATCCCACAGAAAATTGCCTGATTATCTTGCCATTTAAAAGCTCAAACACATGCACAAGGACACACGCACATGCACACACTGCCCACATTTTTCAGATGTGATTATTTTGCGATGGCGCCAATGATCATTTCTTAACAGACCTTAGATGTTTTTATGAGTTAGCCTCAGGATTAGGGTGTGTCTAAAACCGGCTAAGAAGTACAGATGGAGCGCCAGTGGCTGTGGTTTACAAACACTAGGGGGCGTACCTGCGTGAGAATGCGTCGCACTTCACTGTCACTGTCAGCAGAGGCGAGTTGTCCCAGTAGCAGCTCTGCTGTCAGGAACTGAGAGGCGAAGCTGGCCACTTTACTGCCGTCATAACCGTTAAAGACACCATAGAGAGAGCAACTGTCCTCACCCCTGACACACACAAGCACATCAGGAAGGCCATCAATGACTACAATGGTGCATTCATGTTAGCAGGATACCTGTTTTATCTCAGTGGGTGAAATACCTGAAGCGGATGTGGGCATCCTCATACGGGTGGGTCTGGGAGCTCGCTCCCTCAGCTCCGTACACACAGTTGGAGGCAGTGCCCACTCCACACATCTCACACAGGGGCAGGTCATCAGTCCAGCTCTGCTGCTGAAACACACACAGACACACATCCTCAACTTTCCCCCTAAACATGCACAAAAACACGCCATAAGTTTACCAAAATTCAGATCCAGCTATATATAAAAGTTTAGTTTTTTTTTTAGGAGACTAAAACCTACAGAAATCAATTTACTTTGTATCTATGGAAGCTGGTCCGACGTCAAGTTTGTCGTAGAGCCACGAGAGTCAGTAAACATATTCATCCACTCTGGGCAAGAAAAAAAAAAACACCCAGAAGTCCATAATTAAGAATTGAAAAAGGAAAAATTAAAATCTGCATTTTTTGCCCATGTTGTATGGAAAACGAACCAGCTTCAGTGGTTTTGACTCAAAATCGCTAAACATTATCTACTGTGAGGGTTTAAACTGTGGACAAGCCACAGAGCCGCACATTTGGATGACTTCTTATCCAATTTTGTACTATTCCAAATTTCCTCCTGTTTGCACATACAAAGTCCGATTAGCATCAAATTTGAGTCAGTTGTTTCCTCCCCTACCGTGTGAGCCAAAGTTTTACATGGGGAGCCAAACTTTTTGTTATTTCAAAATGTTTAAAATTTAGCACCAAATTCTGATTTGACATCCCAATCCAAAAAGTCAGAGACCCATGACTTATTGCCGTGAGGATGAAAAACACTCCCCATTCTGCGTCAATGGGAAAATTGAGAAATCTCATATTCTCACCTTGCTTTGACGCTTTTGTGTGTTTTGGAAGGAAGCATGTAGCATGGACGAGGCACTTCAGAGCCTCGTCCATGCTCGTGCTTTGTGCTTCGAAGGGACCGAAGGAAAAGAAGTTTGGGCTCGTGGCTCAGAGCCTGATATATGCAGAGACTGTGGACTGGAGTTCTGTTGCATATCTAACATATAACAAACTTACAAACTGTACAGTCGTTTGTTTTTCACTGTTCATGTGCCTGTCTTTGTTTGAATCTGCACTCGTAGCTCTGTTGCATTCCTCCTGCACTTGTAAATAGTTCATGTTTGGTCTCAGATATTTATCACTTATTGTTTTTCTGTTTGTGCACAAATACACTTAAGAATAACTATGTTTCCAACAAGAACAGTGTCTTTATTCACAGCATCACAGTTGAAATGACTTGAATGAGTCAATGAGTTCATAGAACTGTCACATAAACCTGCACTAGATACAAATGTAATGAGCTCAAACAGCTTGAATTGCTAATGTTTTTGTTCTGAAGAGGAGAAAGTAGCAGCTTTAATGGGACCGCTTTGGTTTATCAGGCAACTCCTGTGAGATCACCATCATGTGGTTGGGTGTGGGATTACAACATTCTCTTCAAAACTACGCAGGGGGAACGCGCGAGTGTACGAGCAACTGTGGCTGCGTAGGTCCAGTGCAACCACAACCGCAACCAGTGCAGCGCAAGTGTACACTAGGCTTAAGACCCACTGCATGGCATCAAACTTAAGTTGTATGTTTCGTCCAAAAGAGGGCACTGCAGTACTGTCAATCAAAGTCTGTTTTAGATCTCCTGGCATGTAAATTTCAAACTCAGCCTTGGGACCTGCTGTTGGCTTTGGTGTTATCGCCATTGTTTTACTGCATGCTAATGTTACCCATTACAGTAGCCCAGATGGCCACTAATAGCCCCGTTAATGAGCTCGCAATTCACAACTTTACCAGGCGTGAAAAAGCCCCAAAATTTAAAACTAATGTTCAAGCAAATCATTCAAAAAAGATAAAGAATTATGTTCGAATGTCAAAATTTGTGGTCAACAACATTGCTCCACATCATGTAAACAGTAAACAGAGTAAATCAAAAGTTAGCTGCAGAATCAGTTAAATGGTCTGTGTGCGGCAGCTTCACAACTTTTAGTTAATTCTATATCAGTATTTCTGCAACTTCAGAATTTACAATGAATGTCACTTTATCTACTGATTACACTACCCTTTATGTACAGTATATAACTTTACACTATATATATATTTTTGGACTGTTAATGAAGCATTTACAGCTAGCTAAGAAACCTAGCAACTACTTATTTTGTGTGTTAACTACTGTCCTGTATGTGCGCTGCAACATTGAAATTTCTCCACTGTGGGACGAATAAAGGATCTCGTATCTTTTCTTATCTTAACTATAGAGTTGCATGACCACGCACTAATCTTATAATTTTACGTTGAAGACACCTCTTTAGGAGATGAGGTGATGGCTGTTCAATGCCGCTTGCAGCTTTAATTTTGTTTTGATTTTCAAATTGGACAAATCTCTCGTTCCTAGTTCACGGATTACTAATTTAATCATGGGAATAATTGATTATTTACAGTAATAACTCTGTGATGAGCATACTGAATAGTCTATAATGACTACAGCCATTCGTGGGAGGAGATCCTTCATAATGGGCAATCCCAAGATGTCTTACTTTTTTCTAACTGATTTTTTTCAGTAGTTGCCGATGCAGGGGGTCTATGGACAGTAGTTATCCTGCTCCCTAAGGACCAATGGCTCCTAAGTGTTTGTGATGTTGTGGCTGAACTGTTTGACTCTCTGATATGCTGTTGAGGAATAAACAACTTTGTAAAGTCCTCTGAGACAGACTGCTGTTGTGATTTAGGGCTAAACAAAATTAAATTGAAAAATATTGAACGCGCTGTGTGTTATTATTGTGCAAGTATGATTGTGGTTCCTTTTTGTTTCATAGGTACCCCATCACCATGGGCGTCGGACTGGGGGGGTAAAGGGTACCGAGTACCCAGGGCCCAAGGCGGGGAGGGGCCCTCTAAAGTGTGTCTTTATATTTATATGTATTAGGCATTGTGGTATATTCATATTATTACAATCTGAATGAAAGGGGCCCTGTATAAAAATAACCAACGTTTTAACCTCAGTTTTCCTCTAAAAACAAATTTGTATGCTATATCAGGGCCCTGCCACCCCCTTACAAAAGATCAAATGGTACAACCCACATGTGCGCTTGTTGCTGTGTTGCTGCCGCTGCAGAGAGTTGACTTGTTTGACAAGCAGCGGGAAAAATAGAAATGCCTTTTCCAAAGAAAGGAAAATCAGGATTTCAGAAAAGAAAAGAAAGACAGGACAGGGAGAAAAAGTGTAATGAGGGCAAGCAATTGCTTACTCAGTTCTTCCACACGAGAGGTGAGTATATAGAGACGTGTTAAGGCCACATCAGGAGAAAACCCAGAGACATTTGTTTCTGTATTCTAAACTCACGGAGAGCTAACAGTGTGCCGTGTACGTGGTAAAAAAAAAAACGTTATCCAGAGTGACACACACAGACGCGCAGCTGTAAAGGGAGCTCACACACACACTGCTGTCCACTTCTCCTTCAAAGGCAGGCAGCAAAGAGTTATTTTCATGTACAACCCTGTACCCTATATTCCCACTATTGTCATAATCTGTCCGTCCGTGAGTCTTGCAGTCATAAGTCACGGGTCACTCACTGGCCTCTGCATTGGATCATCTGGTTATAACCATACAAATCACACGCCCCCGCACCGATTTGGAGTTTTCTGGTGACATCTAGTGGTCAAAATAATGTAAATAAGTCTAGTGGTCTAAAGGTTTCTAGCTCTACAATTATCTGTGTAAACAAGGGTGAAATGAGACTTTCTGGTGTGTAAACTATTGCTTTTAAGCCAGAAATGACAACTGACAATCACAGCCCAGACCATGCCCAACTGTAAGCCCCCCTTCTTCTCCACTGGTGCCATTTTTACAGAAACATTTCAAATGTTCATGTGGGCGGAGTAAGGCTAGGCACAGGTGTTTAGTTGAAAATGGAATAGGCTTATTTCAAAAAAGATTGCATCGATGGAATTTTGCCACAAAGTCTAAATTGGTGGATAATAATGAACCATAAAAAGTATTTTGTTGTATGTTTGTACAATAACAAATAAGTAACTTACATGCAGGCATATACGTAATAGCTATACACTGTAATGATGGAATATAGTATCTGTTTGCAACCCATTAGAGCCACATTTCCAAACATTCAGTCACCTTTGGAGCTGCTCAATGCAATACACAAAATGCAGCTAGAAAGTATTTTTGGGGAAATTTGTATTGGCTTGAGAATCTTTTGTACACTTCCAGTGACTGTTGCAGGAGGGGAACGTTCTTTCAGTAAGCTTAAACTTGTAAAGAACTATTTAAGATCCACAATGTCCCAAGAGAGACTGAACAGCCTTGCAATACTCTCCATAGAAAGTCAGTTGGCCAAAAACCTGGACTTTAAAGACCTGATCAGAAACTTTGCAAATGCAAAGACCCGTCAGTGGGCTTTTGATAAACATTGACCATACATTTATCTTTGTACTACATTGATGGTTCTCAAACAGTGTAGTTCTAGTTTTTGTTAAATGTTTACCTTTTTTTGGGCTTGTCCCTGTTAATGAATAAAATGGACATGGTACTACTGTTATCAACCTGGTGAAGCCGTTGTTTGAAAATAAAGCAATGTTTATTGTATATACAGGCTACTCAATAAATTTTTTACATGAGGGTAATAAAAAATATTGTAAACAATATTGATGATAATAAAACCAAAGGACATGAATCAGAATTTTATTAACTAATTAAAAAAAAAAAAATATATATATATATATATATATATATATATATATATATATATATATATATAAAAAGAAACGTGTAGTGGGGGCCCATTGAGACTGTTTGTACCCGGGGCCCAGAATTTGGTGCTACCCCCCTGCCCATCACTAATAACATGGTCATATTATCATCAGAAACACCAGCATGACTTTCCTCGCATGTGAAAGTAAAGCCAAGTAAAGTATGTTATAGAAACATGAGAAGCTCAATATGAAGTATCCTGCCGTAGGAGAAGTATCCTGCCGTAGGAGAAGTATCCTGCCGTAGGAGAAGTACTCGGGTAGTGACTTCAGAGGTACTTACGCTCTGGCTCAGGTTCCTGCGCTGAGCCATGTTCGCCCTGCTCTACTGCGCCAAACTCTTCTGCGCCAAACTGCGAAACTTCTGCGGAAAGTAGTGGACTGTGAACAGAGGCAAGAGCCACGGCCTCACAGCTAGAGGAGCCACCGCTGAGAGCCGCCGGGACGGGCCCAAGCTCACAGAAAAACCCTCTTCACGGAAACACCGGAGACGGGGACAAGAGGGGAACGGAGACCTGGCGAGTGCGCATGCGCGGCTTCAATGTCGCAAACGTGGGCTACATCTGAGTTCATGAAAAATACCTCCTTCCTTAGCATTTCAACTTGTTTTATTTATCTTTTTTCGCTTAAATTTTGGCATTCAAACACCTCAAGCATATATTATATTATATGTGATTAAACTTGGAGCCGCTCTGTCAAAGAAAAGGACAAGAAAGCACAAGGAGAGATTAGGAAGGTAGAGTGGTTAGTGATTTCGGATGCACACAGAGCCGTAAAGCAGCTGCTATATGCTGCATGCAGGTAAGTGGCATACATCTGTATTAAGAAGTCTTTCTGTCCTGCAGACCCGTGCTATGGTATGGAAAGTGTTCAGTCATAGTCTGCTCCCTGCAGGACACCAGGGCCCGTGACGTGCTGCGTGGAGGGTCTGTGAGAGCGCTCGTATTGGTGAGTTTCCATAGTCCAACATGGTCTGCAAACTAGTCAAATGTTCTTTACTCCTGAAATCCTAGTCAAAATTATATTATATTATTATATTATTATTCTCTTATGTACTATTTTTGAATGTACAGTTTGTTTTTTATGATTTTAGTATTCCTTCTTGGTTTGGTTTGTTTTGTAAAGCACTAAAAGTTGCCTTGTGTATTAAGTGTGCTATCCAAATAAACTTGCCTTGCCTAACCCAGATCACATAAAAAAAACCTTGTGGAATAATAACCTGCATTCTGACTAAAGATCAAACTTCAGCCATCATTTTTGGGGCGTTTACGATTAAGCACAACTAAGAGTGTTGATTTTTGAATCAAATAATAAGGAGCTGACTGTGCTCAAGCAACAGCTGTGTGACAGAACTACTGAGAAAAATACATCCATCTGTTTTCTTCCACTTAATCCGTTGCCGGGTTGTGGGGGCAGCAATCTGAACAGTTATCTGTATCTCACGCTCCTTCCCTCACTCGTGAACAAGACCCTGAGATACTTCAACTCCTCCCCGTGTTCTCTCCACCCACCTAAAGAGGGCAAGGCACCTTTTTCGGTGGAGCACCATGTGCTGGTGCTGGTCCTAGGGCGACGTGCAGAACCTCCTCTACGAGCTCGGGCTCCTTCTCTTAATGTTCCATGTCCTCACTGACGCTCTGTGAGTGATAAGATAAGAGAACCTAGATAAGAGAACTACTCACAGTAGTAAGGTCATTCAAGGAGCACACAGGTCCCCTACTTCGACCACACCCAGTCCATGGGAGTCTAGTGCTTCAGGCCACCCAGCCACCCTCACCCAGCCCCTTATCAGACAATGTCACCGTCCGACCAGTGGGGGCGGGTCCCGGCTCAAAAGTGGCCAAAATGATGTGCGCTGACATGCTTGCAATACCACCGATGGGGTGGACCCAGAAGAAGAATTAGCCAATGCTAACATATAGCATTGGCAGACCTCTGGAAAACGTCTTGACAGGATGGTCCAAAAGTCGGCTCTTGTGTGTCAATGCTGAGGGGGGGGGGATTTTTTTGGACCAGTCTGGTTTACTCGCTGTGAATTTTTGAAGTCTCTCGTTCAAATGAATGGAGCTCTCGCCGGCTGACGCATGCGCAGAGGCGTTTCACAATTTTCTTGTGCGCGGGACCACTTGTCGGCCATTTTGGATAGCTCCAGTAGAGCAAATTTGTTGGCCTATTAGTTAGAACGGCGGAGATAGGCGTGACTCTGTCCTTTTAATATATACAGTCTATGGGTCCGACGCAGAAAAAAGTTTGTCACAGCCTCAGTACTTTTGTTTGGTATTTTATGTATGTCCAGGTGGCGGTACTCAGCCTGTGCATGCTCCCTGCTGTCCGGAGGTTGGGCTTCAGAGCTCTGTCCATGGCTTCACAAGCATACAATCCCGGCACGCACTCTGCTGCCTTCATCACCTGCCCCAACCACACGGTGGCGCTGGAGCTGGCGCGGTTAGACTCGCACAATACTCCACACACACAGACATGCAGTGCACAATCCTGGTCATAACTTCAGGACCAGGTGAAACGGGCATTGCTTCAGTAAACCTAAGATGGCCGTCACAATGTCCACATAATAAAACACTTTCTAGTACATTATTTATATAGTGTTGTTGATTACTGTTCTCTGTTTCACCACAGGGGCATCGTCCAGAGGAAACTGGCCGCTTGTGTCAACATTGTCCCTGCCATCAAATCAGTGTAAGAACCTGGACATCTTCAAATGTGGTCAAAGGGACGTGACTCCAGCTAATCAAGTACTATGTTAGCAGTGCTGCTAAAAGAAAACAAAGATGTTAGTAAAAAGTTCCAGCAACAAAGAATGAATTAGAGTACTTTCATGTAGATACTGCTTTCATGAATTGTTGTAAGTGTCATGTCATATGAGCCCTTTTAAGTTAAAAATACTATGACATAGTAATTACTTTGATTTGATCTCATGAAATATTATATCACTTGAGGGTCTTGAGGGTTAATGCTAAAGCCATCTTTGCAGTGTTTGTCTCACTAGCTGAAGCCCCGCCTCCTTTATTAGCATTTTGTCTAAGAAATCCGAACATTAAATATGTTAGAAAATGTATTAGACCAAAATCAAGTAAATTAATCCTAACTAGTTGAACAATAGAAATATTAATTAATGCAGATAGAAGATATAATGGCATTATTTTTTGTTTTGAGTTTTAATACATATTTTCTAATCTCAGACATTATTTTTATTATTCATCCAATTAGTATTATGTCAATTTTGATCCTCCATAGTAAATTTTATTTCCTGCTGGATGAAATTTTGATATATATAAAGGATTTATAACTTATTATAAACGTTGTGTTTGTTTTCTTCTTAAAGTGGTCCACTTTCTAAAATATCAAATGCCATAGTCCATATTGTCATGATCCTGTGTGTGTGCGTGTGTATGTGTATGTGTGCGTGTGTATGTGTATGTGTGCGTGTGTATGTGTGCGTGTGTATGTGTGCGTGTGTATGTGTGTGTGTGTATGTGTGTGTGTGTGTAGGTACGAGTGGCAGGGGAAGATCGAGGAGGATGATGAGGTCCTGCTGGTTAGTTCCCATGTTTTTTTTGTTTTGCCAAATAGCCTTCCATCATTACTAGAATCTAATATATAAAGTAAAAATGCATGCATCTAAAAATGTATTTTCACACACCCTGATTGAAAGCACCATTAGGTATTTCTGTATTTGTATAGTTTTGATGAAGTGTTCGACCCCTGCTGTAGTATAACCTGGTTTAACATTGACCTTCTGCCTCCTGCAGATGGTCAAAACCAGGAGCTCCATGGTCTCATCTTTGGCCGAGTTTGTCCGGTAAGAGTCGAATGAGCCCAAAGCTAAGCGACGCAGAGGTGGGGCAACTGTGATGTGGTGCTCACAGCTGTAAAGTGTGAACTGTTATGTCCTGAGTATGTGTGTGAAGGAGTGACTGCTTACGAATTCATAAGAAATAAATCCTCTTAAAAGGATGGGGTACAACATGTAGTTCAGTCGTTACATTCTGACTGTGCACAAAAGGCTTAATCTGTTTGTTCCAATCAGTTTTGGGGAAGTAACATTACTCGTTACTTCTTTTAAAAAGTAACCTGTTACTCAAGTACCCGTCACTCTACATTTCCCCGGAAATAGTGGTTTAGTTAGTACAACTTGTTTCTTTGTACCGCGTTACACCCAACACTGGTCCCAATACAGACTCAGGGTGAACAGTCAGATAGGGCTCCCCTTCGACTCCATCCCAGTTTGTATTTGTCATGAATATTTTTTGAGAAAAAATGTTGTAAAGTTTGAAGTGTTAATACAATTTAGTTTTTGAAATGGAATTGCAACAATTTGTTTTGTGACTCCATTGTTTCTGAATTTTTAAGGGAAGAGACATTCACTGTCCCGTAATTTAAGAAAGAATAAGGTTGAACAGAAGGAAGTAGGAGCTACAGACATACAGGGATATACACATTATACACTATATATTGTATGGTACAGTTCGTACACACGGTAGCTTTTGTATCGTACACCCTAACCCTAACCACACGAGCCATTCAAATTTCTTAATAAATGTCTTGATAAATAATGACAGGAAATAAAAAATATTGAAGATTATTCCTGTGTCACATTTTCAGGAAGACTGTTCTAGATTTTAGCTGCATAAATCTGAAATGCAACCTCCCCATGTTTAGTTCTGACTCTGGGCACCAGCAGGAGGCCAGTCCCTGTGCTCCCCAGAGTCTGCGTTGGGGCCATGGAGAGATGTGCACTTTAAAGCAGAGCTGATTTAAAGTCTATTATCGGAGCCACAGGAAGCCAGTGCAGAGACTAGGACTGGACTAATGTGGTCGTAATAAACAAATGACAAAAATGTGGTTTCATTGGGAGGGTTTAGTACAACCCAAGATCAGATTCTAAATCAAAAACATAGACGAGAAATGGTTTTATGACTCTATATAATTCTATAATGACAGTAAAGACATTTCATTCTGCCACGTATTTCCAATCAAACAACCTGATCTTTGTTTTGGTCAAATGTGAACAAATTGACCAATGTTCACTGAGCTTTAGGATCCGAATAACATATCAAAATAATCATGTGTTGTAGGTCCAACCACCCGTATGAGGTGGCAGAGGTGATCAGCCTGCCCATCGAGCAGGGAAACCCCCCGTACCTGAAGTGGATTGGAGACATGGTCCAGGAGGAGCCTGCTGCTTCCACCAGCGACTGAACAGGGCGCCAGGTCTGGGGCGAACAGGGAGTGATGGAGATGAAGACGAGAAGAGGTCTGAGGCCATTTCACAAAGAACACACAGCCGAGAAATACAGGAAGATTCCTTTAGTAACAATTAAAGCTGGGGTACCTAACTTTTTCCAACATAGATTTCCATGGTGTTTGTCCAATAGAGAGAGACTTGTAAAAGCAAAATGTTGTGAACAAATCGGACCACAACGAAGCAGAGCCAGAGACAGGAACTAGCTGTATTGTAGTCTGAAAGCTACGTACCTTAGCTTTAAGAGGTGTTGTCCATGGAGTTTACACCCTGTCGTCTTACGTCTGATGTTTCGACTTGACTTGTTGAGTGTGTTGAATGCAAATGTGTGAAAGTCCAATAAAATGACTGGCTTGTTACATTTGAATAATACTTCCACATTTATTTGTATTTTCTGCACACACTCAGTACAGCTTTGCTAATGGATTCAACACAAAACAAAGAACCATCATAACTGTATCATACACGCGCTGCAAATGCAATTGAATGTTAGAATGACTCCATCATGATGTTGGTTGGATGTCCTAAACATATCGGTTTAAACATGAACATCCTACTCATGTCAGTTATCGGGGGGAAAGACAGAGATGCAAAATCCCATGGGAGGAGCTCAGAGAGGCTACTTCCACACGCTGAGATGAGCCAGTTGCCTCCTCATCACCTCCCTGTAGAGAAGACCAGGGGAGCACCCAGGACACGCTAAAGGGACTTCTAACCCTGTCTCTCCTCTGGCCTGGGAACGCCTCACGATTCCCCGCAGCAGGAGGAAGTGGAGGGCCTCTACTCAGACCTTGTGCCCTTATGTTCCAGCAACGAATAAAGCATAAGAAAATGACCACTGAAAACAGAAGCTAAATTAATCCCAAGGAGCTCTCCAGGAGACCAGAGATGAAGATGGAGCCTCCAGTAAAGCTGTCGGTAAAGCTTTAAGTCGTAAACCCCTTACATTAGACATGGGCTGGATCGTTCAGTCTCGTGTGTTCAGAGTGGCACACATACTGCAGTCTGTGAAGTTATAAAACATTTCAGATATGGGATAAGAGGGATCTTTTAACACACTGGTCATTCTAAATTCCTCACATTGTTTTGAAGTCAATGCTCTTGCTCCTATAAAGACTACACAGGCTGATTTATGATCACATTTGGCAACAGAAAAAACTGTCCAATCAGAAGTCTGCAGTGAGGAGCCAAGTTAGGTTAAAAATAAGTGGTAGTTCTATCCCTCCATGAGCTGAGGATACTCAGGATGGGACACGGTCACACACCAGACTCGTCTCTGCAGACCTCTTAGCACCACAACACACAAAATGTACAGACCCAAAAATAAGCAATACTATATATATCCTTTAACGCACACAATCTTTTTTCTATATATATTCACTATTATACAAAATTATAAAATTAATGCAAAAATAAACATCTGCTTTTTAACATGACGGGGAACATAGAGGACATTATCTAAAAACTGTGTGTGTGTGTGTGTGTGTTTGATTGTGTCAAGATTTTAGCAAGCCATGAGAAAAATGTATCATGAATATATATTTTTCAAACTTGCAGACTAACAACAAAATAACTTGGCAAAAAACTTTTAGTCTGGCTGTACGTCGCTCACTCATTCTTAAGATACATGTTTGTGTAGTTCTGAGAAGCACGGTGAAAAACAAGTATCCACAACAGTTACAATGATATGAATTAAAGGTCGTTTCTTTATCCGCAAAATGTGTCTTGTTTTGATATTTTTCTGACTCAATCCAATGTAACTAGTTGTAGCGCTGTGTTTCCAATGTGCCACTCTATGTACGTAATGGTTTTAAAAGTGCGTATGTCTTTGGAGGGCCGGAATACACACAACATACAGATGCTGTTTACGTGCACACTGTTTATGACAAATGTTAAAACAGTTTGGAGCACAGGCAGTAGGTGTGGACAAAGAGAGAGCCTTGACTTGGATGAGGCTCGGGAGGACGAGGCTGCTGAGGTCCTTTGTTGTGTCTCGTAGCCAATCGGATGCGAGGGGCGGGTCTTCCCTCTAACAGAGCCATGGGTGAGACATCAGTGTTAACTAAAACAGTTTGTCCTCAGCTGACTAATGTGGGGACTTTAGTGTGCCTTGTCATCCTGCGCTGTCAATCAAAGCCGTTGCTTCAATCGCAAGAGCCGATCTGGGATGTAAATAAATAAACAGGAAGAATCATGTCGAGCCCAAAAACTTGGACATTTGAAGCCCAGTTATATTTCTAGTGTATTCTAACTTACAACCAGGCCTCCTCTGTGTCCACTCCTTTCAAGTCAATGCTAACGATTAGTATGTTTGGCCCTGATATGTTGGTATTCGTCCTGCAGGAGGCTAGCCAATGCATGACCATTACCAAATCATCACATGAAACATCAATACAAAGAAATAGAAACAAAATTGGAATAAATTGCGCGGAACAAAATACCAATAAAGAGTGTGCTGTGTGTATTCTGTGTGCACGTAAACGCACTGACAAAACCCTGAATTTTCTTTTGCCCCTGTAGCGTATGCAGCGACTTCACTATAATGACACAGACTGAGGAAGCTAGCATACACCGTATGGTTCTGTGTGCAGCAGCAGGAGGCTAGCTCACTGTTAGCTCACTGTTAGCCTCAGTATCTCCAGCCAATCAATACATGAAGAAAATGACGGACATCCAATTCTTTATAAGCAAATTACAGTTAATATATGAATTACTCCAAAATGAATAAAAGTGACCAGCCAGAGAACACCATCCCAACTCTAACGGAACGGTCTGGAAAAGGGTCTTCCAAATGTGAGTTGCTGAAGGACAAGAACACATTTTTTATTGGCCCCTGTACTCCCGTCTAACATTTGAGGAAATAACGCAAAAGATGTGTGGAAGAATGGGCCAGAATTTCAGGACAACCTTAATGAGAGCTAACACAAAGCTAATAGTAAGCTAATACACGTCCGCTCCTGTGCACAGAACCTATCTTGTACAAACAATACAAAATCAATAAATAAATACATATTTTGGTGTGGCGGGCCCTCAGTACTCTTGTCTCTGGTACCCCACAGGGCTGTCCCCTGTCCCGTCAGCAGGGCCCCCTGGTGGGCTGTCCACGGTGTCTCCGGGGAAAGCACTGTAGGGGCCCTGGCCTGCGTCCTGGCCCGGCTCGGCGTAGTCCTGGGAGAAGATGGCTGAGTCTGCCCCCAGCTTGTACCTCTGGAAGGCCAGGAAGGACTGCACGCCCTGTGGGAGTGTGAGGACAGACGGTCAGCATCATTTGTCCTCATTCTGGTTTCCCTTAAACCAGTTTGTGTCAGAATATTCAATTAAATGTAATGTATTCTTGTATAGCCCTAAAACCCCAATAGTAGATATCTCAAAGGACTTTACAAAACTGTAGAATTAGCCAACAAGTCAAACAGAAGGAATGCAATAACATAAAACACATAGAGCCATTGGTCCATAAGAGGTGGATGACATATGTCCATAAATGTTCAAACATTTTGCTGAATGTCGAGTGTCCTGGATCATCACCACTGTCCTTAGACTCTCTTGCATCGTCAAGGAAAAACTCTAAAAGCCCAGTGGCAAAAAAATGAGAATGGACATTGAGGGAGGGATCCGCTCCCACGGATGGACGGGCAACAGATTCAGGAGTCAGGTTGTAGAACAAGGGCCGAGGCCATGCGGTGCAGAATATCCTGTTTTTTTTTCATTGGAACAATGTTTTTTATTTTTATTTTATCTAACTTTTATTCAACCAGCAAAGTCCTTGAAATTAACCTGGGATGAATTATCCGGATTTTTTACCAGAATCAATATCTTCAGATACCCCTCAAATCACAGTGAGCTCACTGTATTACAAAATGGCATGTGTGTATTTTTAACTAATGATTCTCCTGCAAATAACTAGAGAAAAAGTGTGTTCAAGTAATAACAAAAAAACTGTGATACCATTTAATACAACCGATTTTTACACAATTTAATCCAGTTCAGTAAAACCTAAAGGATTTTGGCCAATTATCTAACACTTTGCAACATAAAAAAAAAAAAAATCTTTACAAAAGAAATGTATTTATATTTCATTTATTGAAGATTAAATCAAAACAGAGATACAGTATATCTCATATATTGTTTTGTATGAAAAAATGGGGGAGAAAATCAATATTACCAAAAACAAATCCGTATTGTATCCAATTTTTTAATATTTATATAAATATCTATTTTTTTAGCACACCCCAGTGAGGTTGTACATTAGTTGAAAGGCCCAATAAGCAGCTCAGCTTAATTCATATCTCAGAACCAATCACCTACGTAAATCAAATGTTGTGACGCTCCTACAGGAATGCAAGAGAATACTTTGGTGGACGGTCTGCAGCTGCTCGATGTCTCGTGTGTGCTTCAGGGTGTGGAGTCTTACCCAGGTGAAGATGGAGAAGAAGGAGAAGGTGATGGCAGCTCGGGCTGCGTCCCCGCCCTCCTTCAGGGGGTTGTCCTCGGGGCGGCTGTTCTGCCACTGATTTGCCAGGAGACAAAAGCCCACGAACCACATGAAGGCCCAGAACGCTGCAAGCACACAGCCCCACGTCTTTACCACCGCCAAGACTCGACCAGGACATGAGGCATTTATGTTCTCTGACACCTGAGACGCCTTTGCTCCCCCTGGCCCCTCCAACCACTGCTTTTACTTTAGTTCTTATTCTTGATGATGCATATAGTGACAAATAATAGTAGCATATGGTTGGTTCTGTTTTTTTTCTTTTTCCTGTGGTAGCCACCAACCACACATACAGAGGTAAAAACAAGTCGGCGGCAATGCAGTAAGCTGTCTTTACTTTCTTTGCTTGCCCATTTTCTTTCTGAATCTGTAACTTCATCTGCACACTGTATGCATGTATGTGTATGTGTATTTACATGTGCAGTATGTGTGTGTGTGTATGCGTGTACACATCTATGTGTGTGCATTTATACGTGTATGTGTGTATACGTGTGTATGGAGAGGTTCTGCAGGTCCTTCCTGCTGCCGTCAGACTGTAAAATGAGAACTGATGAGTCTGTACATGTGCCATTCACCTGTTCTGATAATAGTTACTTTTGCCTGCTATTATATTATTACTATATCATTACATATTCCATTCGTCTGATAATTCAGTTCTGATAATTCCCCAGTCACTTTACCTGCCGCTATTATTACTATTGTTTATTCTGGTCATATTCTCTGCCGCTAAAGTGCAATATAAACATCTGTAAATACCTCATGATGCTGCTAACGACAGTGTATACTCCATGATAGTGACATTATATTAACAATGACATTGAAATTTCCACTGAGGGACAAACAAAGGTTTATCTTATCTTATCTGTATGCCTGTACATGTATGTGTGTATACCTTTAAATGTGTATGTGTATACTGTATGCCTGTACATGTATACGTGTGTATATGTGTATGCCTGTATGCGTGTCTGTCTGTACATGTATGTATATGTGCGTGCAGGCACCTGACAGGCCCAGGTCTCCCAGCACGGCCTTCTTCCTATTCTTGACGCTGCTGATCTGGGAGAAGCGCACATCCAGGGCCAGCAGAGCAGAGGCACTCAGCAGACACATGAAGCCCATGAAGACGGCGTAGGAGCAGGCGCTGGCGTTCTGGTTGAAGATGCAGAACTCACGCTCCTCCGAGGGCTTGTTGGTGTAGCCCTCGTTTGCAATGCAGCCGAAGATCACCAAGGAGAAGAGCTGCAAGAGACGCACAGATCTGTCAGGGGCTAGATGCAGCATCGCCATGGTGACCCAACACTAGTGATGTAAAATTATACTGAACGGCACATACAAATGTTTGAAAAACTTTCATCCTGCGACCGAAATACACTGTATTCATACTCAAGCATCTGGCCCAGTTTGAACTAAAATATAAAATAGTCCAAAAACTGCCAAAAAAACCTCAATTTCCAGGAAAGGAAGTACAAATGTATTCAAAACAAAATATATGACATATATGTGTGTATACACATCAGTGTTAAGTTTTCACAGCATTTATTACACCACTGATGCAGCAATTGCATTTAAGAAATGTGACATTTTTTCCCGTGAATTTGTGTTAAAATGCATGCCTGTATTTCTTTTTGTTGCAGAGTGGTTGGGGAGCTCAGTCACACAGGCGAAGCTCGGAGTAGAGCCACTGCTTCTCCTCTCAAAGAGCCAGTTACAAGGGCTGGGATATCTGCCTTGCTGAGATCAGAGGTAGACCCAGGTCTCCTGGAGGAACTGTGTCTCTCAGATGGCCTGGGATAGGCCTCAGGATTCGGACAGCTGCCATCGCAACCCGGCAACGGATAACATGGAAGAAAATGACTGGATGAATTGTATGACCACTATGTGTGAGGTATTCAATAGTATTCAGATTACAGTAAGCTTCTGTGATTGTACCAGCAAAAAGCATACATGTTGCAGGTGTACTATGTGACTAAATACATGTTTAACGTCTTCTGTCATTCCCTTTACCCCTGGTCTTCACTTTGCCCTGTATTTACGTTGTGCAGTTTGGAGTGCACTGGCTCCCCCTGTCGGTGAAGCGGCGCAGAGCAGCAGATTACGCCTCCATCCAATCAGTGCTGATGGTCCGCAGTGTGACGGGCCTTACCCCTGTATACACCGGCTGCATGGAGGCGATAGTGGGGCTCTCAGCTCTGCACAGGCCGCAGCTCAGGCCCGCAGAGGTAACAGTTCCATGTCTCCACCCTGCCGCCCCCTCTCCGCCTGTCCCCGCGCACTCACCCAGTTGACGATGCGTAGAATGGCGTGCGGCTGCTGGAAGAAGGTGACGGGGTCGAAGTCTCCTCCAGCCTTCCCGGCTCCGTACGCCTGCATCCCGTCCATAGTGAAGCCACACCGGGGGAAACTACAGCCGTGCACCCGCTCTGTCCACGTCTGCCGCGCCTGCCGCCTCTGCCGCGAGTCAAGGTGATCGCACACGGACCGGAGGCTGCGCGCACACGGGACCGCGCCTCAGTCACGCGCACAGGGTCCAGGCGCGTCACTGAGGCTCAGGAACGCGTCTCTAACGGCATCTTACCCATGACAAATATACTAGTGCTTTAGCCAGGACCAACGTTCCCTCCAATCTGTCATGGGTATAGGTGAGCATGTGATCTCATAATCAGATACAGAAAATGTTCTTGATCTCAAAATTTGCATAAAAAAAGAACACAAAGAGAGACTACACAAACAAAATACACACACAGACTGATGATTCTAACGTCAGCCTGCCCAGAGACTACAGGTGGACATTAACGTCTTTGCTATAACCGGTACATCTCTCCTTTGAGTTCATGTGTATTGTACACTGTCCCTGTTCAAATAAAGTACATATGGCATACCACACATAGACGCTACACACACACACACACGCACGCGCACACACACGCACACACACACACACACACACACACACACACACACACACACACACACGCACACACACACACGCACACACACAGACAGACTCTATCACACAAACACAGAAGCACACTGAGGCTTCAGGTTACAATATAAGATAAAAAATACACAAAAATTCCCAAAAGTCAAACACCTCCAGAGTTCTACAGTTTTAAAACAGATGCACAAAAGAATTGGAAAAACGATTTGTTTTCCGAGCTGGAGAATCATGACAAAGTCAGCGATCAGAGGATGTTTGGGCCGAGCCAGAATACACTTTTCTTTTAATCTGGGGTCTCTTGGAGCACTGTGAGCAGGTGATCTGGGGCCCCTGTCTGAAACACACCTGCTCTGATCCCATTCAGTTAAGACACATCAACTTTGACAAACATTACGGTTCAATCTTCACCTTATCACGACACAACACTATCAAATTCATTTGAAAGTGAATGATTCCATAAGAAAATATATTAACAAAAAAAATGTATATATTTGAGTTGTAGATTCAGTTATATATTATTCTGATTGAGTTCTTTAAATAATAATTGTATATTCCAAGGGGATATAGCTTATTTATAATGTTACACTACCTACTGAATTTGGGGAAAGAGCAAACTGCTATTGGTACTGCTACTTCTAATTCTGTCACTACTACTACTATTGCTACTACTGCTTCTGCTACTTCTACAACTACTGTTGCTACTACTACTCATACTACTACTACTGCTATTACTACTACTACTACTTAGTCAATCACTCACATATAATTAGTTTTTAAATTAATATTGCTCCTCCACTGCTTCGACCGGTCCAATACCACTCGTACAACTGCCACAGGCTAGTCCATTTGAAGATAAAATAACGCCTTATAAGGACTGTCCTTCCGAATCATAAGATACAATATTTAATTTATGTATTTTCAATGACATAACGCGCCGCAGACCTGACCAATGGCGCGCCTCCTTACAGCCGCGCTCCCTGCGCGCTGGGGCCAATCAGCGGAAGCGTAGCTGCGTGCGTGCGTTGCTCTCGGAGACGGCGGGGGACGCGCAGCGGGCAGCAGGAGCCACACCAGCACCAGCTCGACCCCGTGAGAGAGGCCGTGGAGGAGATGGTGAAGCTGAGGTCCAAGTGTCTGCTTCTGGGTAAGAATATTATCATAGACATTGAATAGATGAACAATGCTAACCCCGCTCATGGTGAAGCGTAATGTGTTTTTATTTTTATTGTTTTATTTTTTTTAACCGATGACTTAAGTATGGCTAACCCTTACCCAACATCATATCCAATATCAAATCAGCTGCATATTTTCTCATTCTAGCACAAAGGTTTTTTTTTTTTTTTTTGCATCTATGACATAAGTTTGGCGAGTCGGTGCATTTTAGTCCTCATTCTAGCAAAAAGTTACACTGCAAGAATATTTTGGGTATCACATATTCAGAGTTGGAATACTGTGAACAAAGTCAGTAAAAACCGTAGACTGTATGTACAATGCTAACCCGCTAGCTCAATGAAGCCGTATAGGGAAGTGCTCATGGTGAAGTTTGGCCCCAACTCGCTCTGGCTCCCATAAGACGCGTTTCCACCGCACTGACTTACATCGAAAATGTAAACTCCTCTAGCTTTAAATAAATTAAACATATAAATTAAACAGACAAATAAAAAGAGAACCACACAACTCATTGTTAAAAGAGTAAAAAGGCGTCCTAAGACTTAAAACATTCCAACGAGGAAGGTGTTTTGAAGAGGGGGGGACAGAGCGTTCCAATTGCACCATGTGCGTATGCTGCTTGGCATGTGTGTTATGTACGGCGACCAGCAAAACTCAGGAGATGATGCTCAACTTTTTGGCCAGACGGATGTGCGGCGACAGTCAGACAGCAGAAAAGTGGTGCTGGGGACACACGTCTCTCAGAGCAGGAAGAAAACACCTCCGAACAAGAGATAAACCGGGATTAGACCAGGACTGCACCAGGATTATGCCAGAACTGACAATGGGCGACGCAGTGCTTGTGCATATACCAGTGGGTTGTAGCATGTTAGCGCGCCTTCAGATTTTGTGTGGTGAGCCTTTGGAAATTATCCAATATCATCTCATTGGTGAAAATAATGTGGAAAGAATAGACTTTTTTAATTTGTTTGATATTCTAAATAATTCATTGATGAGGAAGAGAATGACATTTCTTTGTTCATAAAGGCTGCAGAGTTTGTATCCATGAGATTGTTTTCAATGAAAAAGTGTGACGGCTCCAAAAGCTCTGGAACCACTATACCTAGTTATTCCACTCCTAATATACGGCCTATTATTACCATAATAATCAATAAAGTTAATTTTTTTAGTCTTTGTTTTCTTATCACATTATTTTGACCAATTAGGTGAATTTGGATTAATTTCAAAGACACACTAACATACCACGATGCACCAGTGAAAAACACTGCTTTATAAAATAGTGACTTGAGCGAGAAATATAGCTGCACTGACCTAAACAAGTCCAATAAGTTTAGTAATTGTTAACCGATCTGTAAACAGACTTCAAAACATGAATGTGCAGAGGGATGTGATTTAAAGGCTCACAGAGCAGCAAAGGCATCCAAATACAAAGTGTAAGTGTTGTAATGAGACTCTGGCGCCTTCAGCTTTACCTGGCTGAGATAGAATATCAGGTTTGCAATCTAAACAACCTTCTGATTAATCAAAGGAACAACCACTCTCTTCATTGATCCAAATAAACGTTTAGTTACAGCCTTAGAGCAAAAAACAAACATTCTCTCCTGGCAAACCTTGATCTGTATTATTTGATAAAGAGTGTTCCCATGGACCATACGAAAAAGTGAGTTACAATTAATTACATTCATTTTTGGGTGGCACTCTTGTCCCGCTTCAGCAAGACTGTCCTGGGTTCGCGAAAGGGTTGCATGTTCTTCCCGTGTCTGCATTGGTCTGGGTGCTCTGGTTTCCGACAACCACTGCTCCTGACAGAAGCCTTAGTGGCATCAGGATGGGTCAACTGCGGAGGGCAAATTTCCCTACGGGACAATAAACATTTTTATTTCTTCTTGTAAATTCCTGAATCACAACCGATCTCAGAGGACTTTACAAAACTTCGAATCGCCAACACAGATCAGAGAATCAAACAGTTGCAAAGACATGTCGTGTCGTGGGTCGTCACCACAGACCCTCCTGCATCGACAAGAAACAACTAAGAACCCAAAGTGAGAGTGGTGTGTTCTCAGACTGTGACTGTGGCAGGAGACGCTGCGGTGGGGAAGAGCACTCTCTGCCAAATGTTCAGCAGTGATGGCGTCCACTTCCAGAGGAGCTACACCATGGTGAGAGGCCCACTGCTCCACACCCTCTCTGGTCTCCCCCTGGTCTCTCTCTGGTCTCTCTCTCTGTTCTCTCTCTCTGGTCTCTCTCTCTCTGGTTTCGCTCTCTGGTCTCTCTCTCTGTTCTCTCTCTCTGGTCTCTCTCTCTCTGGTCTCTCTCTCTCTGGTCTCTCTCTCTGGTCTCTCTCTCTGGTCTCTCTCTCTCTGGTCTCTCTCTCTGGTCTCTCTCTCTGGTCTCTCTCTCTGGTCTCTCTCTCTCTGGTCTCTCTCTGTTCTCTCTCTCTGGTCTCTCTCTCTCTGGTTTCGCTCTCTGGTCTCTCTCTCTGGTCTCTCGCTCTCTGGTCTCACTCTCGGATCTCTCTCTTTCTGGTCTCTCTCTCTCTGGTCTCTATCTCTCTCTCTGATCTCTTTCTCTCTGGTGTCTCTCTCTCTGGTCTCTTTCTCTCTGGTCTCTCTCTCTCTGGTCTCTCTCTGGAACAAATTGAAACTTAACTGACAAAAAATAATAATAATAGCATTGCAATCACAATGTCAGAAAGAACTGTTCCTCGTCTTAAACATGTTAAAAAGCGCAGAAGTACATTTGTCAGCCTCTTTTTGCACTTGCAGACGGCCGGGGTGGAGCTGTTCACCAAATGCGTCTCAATCGCTGACAGCGGACACAGCGTGGTGAGTGCTGCAGCGGTGTCTTTCTTCAAGCTATGTAAACACCGCACCAGTTGTGAGGAGTGGGAGGTCAGTGCGGCGTCTGCAGTGATGTGGCCGCTGTGTCCGACCTCTGTGGTGACGAGGGAGAGCAGCGTCTGCAGTCAGAGCTCTGTATTTACCGCTCAGTCCATGTCCACACCTTCACCAGTCATGAGCAGGGTGGCAAGATGCTGTGAATATTCAAAGATAGAAACTTTACACGGGAATGAATGAGAATTTAAGTGAATTATCAGGAACGTATGGGAATAAACTGGGAATACATTTTCAACATTGAAGATTGGCTCTTCATAGAGAATTAAATGTAGTTGAGGAAAGTATATTTTAGCACAATCTTGACTAAAACAAATCGAGACCATTAAAATACACCAGTTATTCATAAATAACATAGAACTCACTGCCTGACTACTGAGACCACGCCCCCTACTGGCCCCAAACAGAATAACTGTTTAGTACACTGGCTCAAATGTAAACTTTCATGATTTGCTCTACTTTTTTTCACTAAATTTGTTGAAAATCTATTTACATGGATGTTTTCTCATGACCTCTGTTTATATTTTTGCTTGGATATGATTTGATACAATACAACTCATTCTAATTCATGGAATATTTACAAAATTCTCCATCTTTGCAACCCTTGTCATGAGATTTGAGAGAAAGACCCAAAAGCGGCCCACATAGGTGTCTTTTGCATGTGACGAGGCTGTGGTGCCATGTTCTCTGCTCAGGAGCTGTACCTGCTGGACTGTCCAGGGAAGGAGCTGCTGGCCGAGGCCTGTGACCACATGGTGAGGACATTGTTGTGATAAAAGATAAATAAATGTAAAACAAGTAGAGCAAACACTGCCATTTTTTTCTGACATGGGCCTTTTTTTCTATATGCTGTCAAAAGTATTGCACTATTGAACTCAGGCCGGACTAAAATCTGAGCAAGAAAGTCTATTTATACTATAATATGGGTATGGAGATCTCTCTGGTCTCTCTCTGCTCTCTGTCCCTCTGGTCTCTCTCTGGTCTCTCTCTGGTCTCTCTCTGGTCTCTCTCTGGTCTCTCTCTGGTCTCTCTCTGGTCTCTCTCCCTCTGGTCTCTCTCTGGTCTCTCTCTGGTCTCTCTCTGCTCTCTCTCCCTCTGGTCTCTCTGTGGTCTCTCTCTCTAGTCTCTCTCTGCTCTCTCTCCCCCTGCTCTCTCTCTGGTCTCTCTCTCTAGTCTCTCTCTGCTCTCTCTCCCCCTGCTCTCTCTCTGGTCTCTCTCTATGGTCGCGCGTTGCTCTCTCTCTCTGGCCCTCTCTCTGGTCTTGTGCTGCTCTCACGCTCTCTCTCTCTCTCACTGGTCTCTCTTTCTGCTCTCTCTCTTTGGTATCTCTCTCTGGTCTCTCTCTCTGCTCTCTCCCTCTGGTCTCTCCCTGGTCTCTCTCCCTGGTCTCTCTCTCTGGTCTCTCTCTCTCTGCACTCTCTTTCTGGTCTCTCTCTCTGCTCTCCCTGGTCTCTCTCCCTGGTCTCTCTCTCTGGTCTCTCTCTCTGGTCTCTCTCTCTCCGCTCTCCCCCTCTGCTCTCTCTCTCTGGTCTCTCTCTGGTCTCTCTCGCTGCTCTCTCTCTGGTCTCTCACTCTGGTCTCTCTCTGGTCTCTCCCTGGTCTCTCTCTGGTCTCTTTCTCTGGTCTCTCTCTGGTCTCTCTCTCTCTGGTCTCTCCCTGGTCTCTCTCCCTGGTCTCTCTCGCTGGTCTCTCTCCCTGGTCTCTCTCTCTGGTCTCTCTCTCTGATCTCCCCCTCTGCTCTCTCTCTCTGTTCTCTTTCTGGTCACTCCCTGGTCCCTCTGGTCTCTCTCTCTCTACTCTCTCTCTCGTCTTTCTCTCAAGACACTTAACCCCATTTTTGATGACAGAGCAGCCATCTTCCTGTAGACCTGCCTCAAGATCAGTGAGGGGCTGGTGCTTTGAGGATTGGGTTGCAGCTGAAATTGCCACCGCCTGAGCCAGAAATGGATTAAAAAAACAACATGAAAATGACACAACATGAACTATTGGTTGTTAGAGTGTGCTCTGCTTGCCACCATGCTGAAAATTATATTGTTTAAAGAATCGTGATGTGTGTGATGTGTCCAGTGGGGGGCGCCCTGGCTGCTGTGCCTGGTGTTCGACCTGAGCAATGAGCAGTCCTTCCTCAGCTGCGACCGATGGATGGAGAGGATCAAGGCCCACAGTTTGGGAAACACTGTGTCCGGTACGTTTATTTGATGCAAAAAGAATATCCAGTTATGTTACTTTAATCAAGAAAACATCTTATACTTTTGCATACTTGTAAGAAAGATTTTGACTTTTGTGCTGTCTCTCTGGCCTCTCTCTCTGGCCTCTCTCTTTAGTCTCTCTCTTTGGTCTCTCTCTTTGGTCTCTCTGGTCTATTTCGCTGGTCTCTCTTTGGTTACTGGTTTCTTGTATCTGTTCTCTCACGGTCTTTCTCTCTGGTCCTGGGTACTTGCGCTGAGACTCTAGAACACTTACTTTAAAAGTTAGAAGTTTAGAAGAAGAAGAAGGTCCTTTATTCGTCCCACAATGGGGAAATTTCAGTTTGATGCACACACATACAGTACATACACACACATACAGTACATATACACACATACAGTACATATACACACATACAGTACATATACACACATACAGTACATATACACACATACAGTACATATACACACATACAGTACATATACACACACACATCAAGGCAAGCAGCCAGCATCACTTCCGTGCTCCTTATAGGTAAAGTGGGTTGCTCAAGGACACAAGGACAGCAGACATCAGAGGAAGTCGGTGGAGAAGGTCTTGTGGTGGGCTTTGTTTGGTTCAAAACAAACTCTGACACGTTCTTGTCTTCCTGGTGGTAAAAACAACAAAAGCAACGGTCCAAACATCACACCATTGTAGTCGGTCAACACAGCATTTTACCATCTGTATTAAAGAGTCTGTATTAAATATTTTTATTTCTTCAAAACTTACTGCTCTTTATTATGTTTTTATATTGAACATTTTATGGTTTCTTTATTTCCCCAAAGAACATTCACAGTCCATTTCAGTGAAGATGTTCTCAGGGGAAACACTGGAGTCAAGTTTGGATCTAACCCACTAACCATCCCTTGTGCAGGGGTCCTGGTGGGGAACAAGAGTGACCTGTCTGAGCGCAGGGTGGTGCCTCTGGAGCAGGCCCAGGACTGGGCCCAAACACACACTCTGGCCTACCACGAGACCTCTGCGGTGAGTACCGGCCAATCCACTTCAATACCATTATTTCTCTCCAGCCCTAAATCACAACAGCAGTTGTTTCAGGGGACTCTACAAAGTAGTTTATTTCTCACAGTCAGAATCAAACAGTTTGAACACAGGAAATGCAGTGATAACAAACACATAGAGCCATTGGTTCATAGACCTCTGTGAGTACCAGTCTCACTCTGGACCCCCTCTAGACCTCTGTGAGTACCAGTCTCACTCTGGACCTGCTCTAGACCTCTGTGAGTACCAGTCTCACTCTGGACCCCCTCTAGACCTCTGTGAGTACCAGTCTCACTCTGGATCCCCTCTAGACCTCTGTGAGTACCAGTCTCACTCTGGACCCGCTCAAGACCTCTGTGAGTACCAGTCTCACTCTGGATCCCCTCTAGACCTCTGTGAGTACCAGTCTCACTCTGCACCCCCTCTAGACCTCTGTGAGTACCAGTCTCACTCTGGACCTGCTCTAGACCTCTGTGAGTACCAGTCTCACTCTGGACCTGCTCTAGACCTCTGTGAGTACCAGTCTCACTCTGGACCCCCTCTAGACTTCTGTGAGTACCAGTCTCACTCTGGACCCCCTCTAGACCTCTGTGAGTACCAGTCTCGGAGTACCAGTATTTTTCTTTTTTAATTATTTTCTTTTTGCGTTATGAAGATTTTATGACAAAAGGATTACTTTCAATATTTTCAATTATTATTTTCTGGTTCAGTGACTGTTTGTTTGGACACAAAACAGAACTGAAGGTAACAAAGGCTTATAATTGTAGACTGATTGACCAATGATTGATTTTTTGATTTATGGTGATTTATTTTACCATTTCTCCATACGATTCTTAGAGGCTACAGACTGGCACGTTTACTTTCATTTTTCCCTTTCAAATAAACAAATACATAAAATATTGCATTCATATGTACATGGAACTCTCTTGACGTTATTTTTGCCCTGAAAATTGTGTCGCAATTAGATATTATGCTTATATGGTGCAGCCCTAATAGTCGCTAGATAGATAGATAGATATATACTTTATTGATCCCGAAGGAAATTGTGCACTGGTCCCTTGCTCGCAATCATGCAAAGATACATACATAGGTTAGAATTAAAAGATGCAAAATAGTTAAAAAAAAGAGACAATAAATACATTAAAACATTAAAAGAGAAGTTAAGGCACTGCAAAACAATTCTCAAGACCCCCCCCCTGCTCCTCCCTGAAGTGGCTTTGTTATAGAGCCTGATGGCGTTGGGGACATCTGTCCTTGGAGCACCTCAGAGAGAGGAGTCTGGAGCTCTTGGTGCTTCTCTGGCGGGGGAAAAAAATGATGTAGCAGGCAGCAGCACGTTGGTCACATGGTGCGTTTGTGTTTTGCAGAAGGAGCTGGACACCTGCTCCGCCCCTCTGCTCAGCCTGGCTCAGACCTACCTGTCCCTGTACGAGCAGAGCTGTGAGACCAGCCGCAGTCTGCTCACATAGACCACATCCACCACGAGTCCTTTCTACTGCCTCTTCTGCACTGTTTCTGTTCATAATAAAAATCACAAAGGACGCATTCTCTGTCTTCACTTTGATCCATGGACGGGGCAAATGACCTCTTCAACATAAATAAGTGAAGGAGCTAAAATAAGATGATAAAAATGTTAAAGTTATAGAGAATCTTATGTGGAATAATGTATGAAATAGCTACATTTAATCCATTGTCCTAAGGCGGGTATTCAATATGTGCCTGACTTACTAGAGTTAGCATGGCTGTAGCTCAGAACTCAAAACAGACCAGAGTGTTTTGCTGCCCACCTCTATACCTTCTCCACCGACTCCCACTGATGACTGCTGTCGTTGTGTCCTTGGGCAAGACACTTAACCCCACTTTGCCCAAAGCCCCCACTGAAAGATCAAGGCTATGGTCACACTCAGAGAGCAGCCGTCCTCCTGTGGACTCACCACCTGCAGAGGATCAGTGAGGGGCTGGTGCTATGAGACTTGGGTGGCATCTCTGATTGCCACCCCCCCCGACCCAGAAATGGATTAAAGGGTAGAAAATGGATGGATGGATGGTGTTTTGCTGCTTCCTGAGCGCCACAACCAAGTTCAGGCGATGGGTTGATCTGTCCGTGTGCTTTGGAGCGTTGCTTTCCTTTCAGCCTCTGCCCCACTCACTGTGCCGTGCCACCCGCTGGCTTTTAAAGCACAGGGGCGCAAGTAATTCCCTTTTTTCTTTTGTTCAGCCATAGACTGTATATATGGACAATGCTAACCCGCTCCCTCAACGTCAATAGAGAAGTGCTTGTAGACAGAGTTACTTTTCATGTATCTCCTTGACTTAGATGTAAAAGTAAACTCCTTTCGCTCAGCCTTTGTGTCACACTCACCATTTTGGGTTCAGCGCTGAGTTCAAAGTGAGCTGAGCCTGAATGCCAAAGCCACAGTGCGGTAAATCAACAATTATCACTGATCTGATCAACACAAAGACTGAATTTTCTCTGTAAACCGGAATATTCTTTTAGTTGTCTTTCCTGTTTGGAAGGATCTGAACAGTGTTAATCTGACACACACAGGAGGACAACATCCCAATGAGGGATCGTTGAGGAGCCTAAACCTGCTCCTGTGGTCCACAATAATAGGGTCTCTCTCTCTCTGGCATCCCTCTTCTGGTTCTATGGCCTCTCTCTTTCTCTCTTTCCTCTCTCTTTTGTCTCTCTGGCCTCTCTCTTTTGTCTCTTTGGCCTCTCTCTTTCTCTCTTTCTCTCTTTCCTCTCTTTCATCTCTCTGGCCTCTCTCTTTTGTCTGTCTCTTTCTCTCTTTCCTCTCTCTTTTGACATTATGGCCTCTCTCTTTTGTCTCTCTGGCCTCTCTCTTTCGTCTCTCTGGCCTCTCTCTTTCGTCTCTCTGGCCTCTCTCTTTCGTCTCTCTGGCCTCTCTCTTTCGTCTCTCTCTTTCGTGTCTCTGGCCTCTCTCTTTTGTCTCTCTGGCCTCTCTCTTTTGTCTCTCTGGTCTCTCTTTCGTCTCTTTGGCCTCTCTCTTTCGTCTCTTTGGCCTCTCTCTTTCGTCTCTCTGGCCTCTCTCTTTCGTCTCTCTGGCCTCTCTCTTTTCTCACTCTGGCCTCTCTCTTTCGTCTCTCTGGCCTCTCTCTTTCGTCTCTCTGGCCTCTCTCTTTCGTCTCTCTGGCCTCTCTCTTTTCTCACTCTGGCCTCTCTCTTTCGTCTCTCTGGCCTCTCTCTTTCGTCTCTTTGGCCTCTCTTTCGTCTCTCTGGCCTCTCTCTTTCGTCTCTCTGGCCTCTCTCTTTCGTCTCTCTGGCCTCTCTCTTTCGTCTCTCTGGCCTCTCTCTTTTGTCTCTCTGGCCTCTCTCTTTCGTCTCTCTGGCCTCTCTCTTTTCTCACTCTGGCCTCTCTCTTTCGTCTCTCTGGCCTCTCTCTTTTGTCTCTCTGGCCTCTCTGTTTTGTCTCTCTGGCCTCTCTCTTTCGTCTCTTTGGCCTCTCTCTTTCGTCTCTTTGGCCTCTCTCTTTCGTCTCTCTGGCCTCTCTCTTTCGTCTCTCTGGCCTCTCTCTTTTCTCACTCTGGCCTCTCTCTTTCGTCTCTCTGGCCTCTCTCTTTCGTCTCTCTGGCCTCTCTCTTTCGTCTCTCTGGCCTCTCTCTTTTCTCACTCTGGCCTCTCTCTTTCGTCTCTCTGGCCTCTCTCTTTCGTCTCTTTGGCCTCTCTTTCGTCTCTCTGGCCTCTCTCTTTCGTCTCTTTGGCCTCTCTTTCGTCTCTCTGGCCTCTCTCTTTCGTCTCTCTGGCCTCTCTCTTTCGTCTCTCTGGCCTCTCTCTTTCGTCTCTCTGGCCTCTCTCTTTTGTCTCTCTGGCCTCTCTCTTTCGTCTCTTTGGCCTCTCTCTTTCGTCTTTCTGGCCTCTCTCTTTCGTCTTTCTGGCCTCTCTCTTTCGTCTCTCTGGCCTCTCTCTTTCGTCTCTCTGGCCTCTCTCTTTTCTCACTCTGGCCTCTCTCTTTCGTCTCTTTGGCCTCTCTCTTTCGTCTTTCTGGCCTCTCTCTTTCGTCTCTCTGGCCTCTCTCTTTCGTCTCTCTGGCCTCTCTCTTTCGTCTCTCTGGCCTCTCTCTTTCGTCTCTCTGGCCTCTCTCTTTTCTCACTCTGGCCTCTCTCTTTTGTCTCTCTGACCTCTCTCTTTCGTCTCTCTCTTTCGTCTCTCTGGCCTCTCTCTTTTCTCACTCTGGCCTCTCTCTTTTGTCTCTCTGACCTCTCTCTTTCGTCTCTCTCTTTCATCTCTCTGGCCTCTCTCTTTCGTCTCTCTGGCCTCTCTCTTTCGTCTTTCTGACCTCTCTCTTTCGTCTCTCTGGCCTCTCTCTTTCGTCTCTCTGGCCTCTCTCTTTTGTCTCTTTGGCCTCTCTCTTTCGTCTTTCTGGCCTCTCTCTTTCGTCTCTTTGGCCTCTCTCTTTCGTCTTTCTGGCCTCTCTCTTTCGTCTCTCTGGCCTCTCTCTTTCGTCTCTCTGGCCTCTCTCTTTCATCTCTCTGGCCTCTCTCTTTCGTCTCTCTGGCCTCTCTCTTTCGTCTTTCTGACCTCTCTCTTTTGTCTCTCTGGCCTCTCTCTTTTGTTTCTCTCTTTCGTCTCTCTGGCCTCTCTCTTTCGTCTCTCTGGCCTCTCTCTTTTGTCTCTCTGGCCTCTCTCTTTCGTCTCTCTGGCCTCTCTCTTTTCTCTCTCTGGCCTCTCTCTTTCGTCTCTTTGGCCTCTCTCTTTCGTCTCTCTGGCCTCTCCCTTTCGTCTTTCTGGCCTCTCTCTTTCATCTCTCTGGCCTCTCTCTTTCATCTCTCTGGCCTCTCTCTTTCGTCTCTCTGGCCTCTCTCTTTCGTCTCTCTGGCCTCTCTCTTTTCTCACTCTGGTCTCTCTCTTTCGTCTCTCTGACCTCTCTCTTTCGTCTTTCTGGCCTCTCTCTTTCGTCTCTCTGGCCTCTCTCTTTTCTCACTCTGGCCTCTCTCTTTCGTCTCTTTGGCCTCTCTCTTTCGTCTTTCTGGCCTCTCTCTTTCGTCTCTTTGGCCTCTCTCTTTCGTCTCTCTGGCCTCTCTCTTTCGTCTCTCTGGCCTCTCTCTTTCGTCTCTCTGGCCTCTCTCTTTTCTCACTCTGGTCTCTCTCTTTTGTCTCTCTGACCTCTCTCTTTCGTCTCTCTCTTTCATCTCTCTGGCCTCTCTCTTTCGTCTCTCTGGCCTCTCTCTTTCGTCTTTCTGACCTCTCTCTTTCGTCTCTCTGGCCTCTCTCTTTTCTCACTCTGGCCTCTCTCTTTCGTCTCTCTGGCCTATCTCTCTCATCTCTTTGGCCTCTCTTTTTCGTCTCTCTGGCCTCTCTCTTTCGTCTCTCTGGCCTCTCTCTTTTCTCACTCTGGCCTCTCTCTTTCATCTCTTTGGCCTCTCTCTTTCGTCTCTCTGGCCTCTCTCTTTCGTCTTTCTGGTCTCTCTCTTTCGTCTCTCTGGCCTCTCTCTTTCGTCTTTCTGGTCTCTCTCTTTCGTCTCTCTGGCCTCTCTCTTTCGTCTCTTTGGCCTCTCTCTTTAGTCTCTCTCTTTAGTCTCTTTGGCCTCTCTCTTTAGTCTCTTTGGCCTCTCTCTTTCGTCTCTCTGGCCTCTCTCTTTCGTCTTTCTGGTCTCTCTCTTTCGTCTCTCTGGCCTCTCTCTTTCGTCTTTCTGGTCTCTCTCTTTCGTCTCTTTGGCCTCTCTCTTTAGTCTCTTTGGCCTCTCTCTTTAGTCTCTTTGGCCTCTCTCTTTCGTCTCTCTGGCCTCTCTCTTTCATCTCTTTGGCCTCTCTCTTTCGTCTCTCTGGCCTCTCTCTTTCGTCTCTTTGGCCTCTCTCTTTCGTCTCTCTGGCCTCTCTCTTTCGTCTCTTTGGCCTCTCTCTTTCGTCTCTCTGGCCTCTCTCTTTCGTCTCTCTGGCCTCTCTCTTTCGTCTTTCTGGTCTCTCTCTTTCGTCTTTCTGGTCTCTCTCTTTCGTATCTCTGGCCTCTCTCTTTTGTCTCTCTGGCCTCTCTCTTTCGTCTCTCTGGCCTCTCTCTTTCGTCTTTCTGGTCTCTCTCTTTCGTCTCTCTGGCCTCTCTCTTTCGTCTCTTTGGCCTCTCTCTTTCGTCTCTCTGGCCTCTCTCTTTTGTCTCTCTGGCCTCTCTCTTTCGTCTCTGGTTTCTGATCTCTGTTCTCTCTCTGGTCCTGTGTACTTGCTCTGTGACTTTAGAACACTTACTTTAAAAGTCAGAAGTTGGTTTTAAATGGTTCACTTTGACACGTTTCTGTCTTCCTGGTGGTAAAAAAACCAGCGGTCCAAAGAACACGACATCAACACAGCATCTAAACATGGATCTGCATCTGTCATAGTCTTACAGAGAGAGTAAACTCCTCTCGCTGAGTAAGCGTTTGTGTTACACTCACCATTTTGGGTTCAGCGCTCTCTGCCATTTACTCACACAAACAGATGTTGGTTCATTTGGTTTAGATAAAATGATCTTTTGTT